CCACGCAGGGGAGGTTCGCATATCCAACAGGATTCCCCCTTCCCTCAACCCATCCAAACATTTCGTCGAACTCAAAGACCAGCGTGAAGTCTTCGGCCGCTTGGTACAGTGTCGAACCGGGCACGCGTATACAGGAGAATTCCGCAGACAATTCTTCCCAGAGAAAACCACAAACTGCGAATGCGGAGTGGACCCACAGACGCGCGAGCACATTATAAGAGACTGCGAACGGTACGAGGACCAACGGGCCAAGCTACGTGATCACGACCGTGAACTGGCACTCCCAGAACTACTGGGAACCCCCAAAGGCATCACGGCCCTATCCATCTTCATAAGAGACTCCGGCGCGTTCACATTCACGGGAGAAAAGCACATGCCAAAAGAAACCCCATCCTTCCAGGACGAACCAGAACCCCCAGACGAGGACTCAGAAGACGATGAGTCCGACGCTGAACCATAACACCCATACGATGCCCACACCCAGACCCAATCCCCCGCGAGCGCAAGAGCGCCCGCCATGCCCCTAGCGTCGCCACGACGCACTCGACTCTGACCTCCAGTTCTCTGGCCCCTGCACACAACCCTACACATCTCTTATACAATACAGCTACACATCGGACACCCAAATTCACGTAATGGAAAGCCCGCACGACATAATTACATCTAAAAGGGAAGCCATACGCTTCCCGTGCGTCTTAGTACTAGACTACTTGTTGCACGTAAATCTCGAGATAATAAAAAAAATAAAAAAAAAATAAAAAAGTGTGTCACAGTCGCGACAGGTCACGCTCGAGAGGATGTCAAGCAATCGTAAATAACGCGTTGACACCGACCAGCGACCACTTCAACTTCAAGCTTGACTCACAGCTGATTAGAAACGAAAATGAAGGCGAGAACCAGATCCTTTCAAGAACGGATCCAAAAGCGCAGCTGCTATATTTGCAATCTTTCTATTGTCAAAATTTTTGAACGATCGGGATGAACGTTGAGACACGGCGACGTCACTATCATGGGCCGGCTATACCACTTGGCACTCTCGCGCTCTCTTTCTATCCGTCATTGGCTGGCCAACTTGCTAGGATATCTCTCCAATGTCCACAAATCTGCCATCCGAAGATGGTAGACCTCCAGGGGGCACCGCTCGTACTCCCGGGAACAGAACCCCTCGCAAGGTCCAGTGGATCGACGAGAGCAGGGAAGAAGAACCCGTAGTCGAAGCCACCGGTTCTTCCCATCTCCTTGACGAACGTGCTTTGGATGTGTGTCTCTCTCCCTCCTTCTAGCACCGAAACTCCCTTCAAACACATCTTAGCCCACAGGCTTTCACAAACTAACTGAAGCACTCGAGAAACATCGGAAAGCGACGACTCCGCTAACCCATGTGCATTATTACCCACCTACACCTCTTTCCGATTCTTTTACGCGTGATGACATCCGCCCAGGGGGCCTGTACGCCTCTTCATCAGCCCCGTCCAGCGTAATCACGTTTGATTCGAGTCCGCTAACTCAACCGCCTTCTCCCACCCACCATGTGCCCAACAATTTTATTGACCCGTTAGAGGACGCTGGATTACCTGGAACCAAGAGCTTGCAAAATTTCTCTAGACGCAAGGCAGCTAAACTTGCAAAGGTTTACAAACATCCTAGTCATCTATGGCGCTCAATTACAACCGACCATTCGGAAAAGGACAATCGCAAAGGAGAGGAAGGTTGGGATAGGGATGTCGAAAGCGAAGCTAGTCATTCAAGTGACGGTGGCGGGATGCTGTCAACGTTGCTGAGCCTTTTCAGTGAGAAACCCTCAAAACCAAGGAAACTACATTCAAGAACTTCTTCCACGGAGCAACTGAGAACGTGGACAAGCGGATCTGATCTGTCCGATCAAGAATACTTCAGAACACGACCAGAGTCGACCTCTGAACGTGAGCTTTTTTTTTCACCCTCGTGCACGGTTCACGTATTTCAATACAGCAGTGGGAGGTAAGTTCGCAGACGAAGTCAGGAGAAAATCACACGTCCCACGACCTCACCTTTCCCTCCCATCCTTGGGCATCGTCTCGCGACCAAAGGCAGCCAGGAGCGACGGAGGTGTCATTGGATCCCTGATCGCAAGCACAGGGAACATCGCTGGCGCAGCAGCGCCCGTTGCAAGCACTCTACAACCAGACGTCGATAAACCAGGTTTTCGTCTTTCCCGGTTCGTCCCTCCCCTTTCATCAATACAGTAATCTCATAATATCACTTTTAGCTATTCAACCAAACCAGTAGAAGTCCCAACTCAAGCAAAAACCTTGCGTCGCCAAAGTAGCTTGATGTCTATCCAGCGGCCCCCCTCTGTACTGGGAGCATCACCATCATTGACTCCCTCGCCACCGGCATCTGCCCCTCCCTCGCTTTATCGCGCTGGTAACAGGCACAGTATGGGGTTCAGGAAGGACTTTACGTTCCCCTCTATGACTTCTCTAAAGTCAAGTCTTTTGAGTGGGAGGAATACGCCCCTGGGTTCACCGACTACAGATGAGGAAGGCGGGACTGCTCCGGAGCGTAAGAAGAGGAGACACAAGAGGAAGAAGGCGGAAGTATTTGTAGGCTATTCATCTCTTTTTTCTGCAAAAACACACCTCATGATTTGTTTCAAGATCACACGTCACCTCGCACACGTCATTCAACGAGAAGAGTTTCTGCTAAAGCTGACCCGGGCAATGATGATGTTCGGTGGCCCCGTACACAGACTTCAATCCCAAATACAGAGCGCAGGACGCGTGTTGGACGTCGAGCTCAGCCTATTGTACCTCCCGGACGTTGCGCTGATTAGTTTCAACGACTCGTCGACTGGGACGAGTCATATCAAGTTGATAAGGCAGGGGAGCGCGTTGGATATCGGGAAACTGACGGATGCGTTTCATCTTTATTGGCAGGTCATCCACGACAAACTCTCAGTATCAAACGCATCCATCGACCTGGACAACCTGATGCAAAAACCACCCATGTACAAATGGTGGCATGTCATATTCATAGGCGGGATGTGCTCTGCAGCCATCTGCTCCGTCAGCTTTTCCGGGAGTTTCTTGGATTGTTTAATTTCGTTCCCGTTGGGTGCTTTCCTTGTTTTTGTCCAGATAATGAGCGTTAGGAACGTGTTATACACTTACGTTTTCGAGTGAGTACCTACCCCCCTCATTCAAATAGTTGGAATCTGATGGATGGTGGCTAGGTTCACGATGACCACACTCTTCAGTTTCCTAGCCGCTGCGCTGGCCGCAACGCATCATTTCTGCTACTCTGCCGTAGCATCCGCATCTGTCGTCCTCATCCTCCCCGTCAGTCTCTTCATCCTCTCCTTCCTCCTTCCCTTTCTAACCAAATGTGCAAACACAGGGTTTTATAGTCCTCACCGGCTCCCTCGAGCTCCTCTCCCGCAACATCATCTCCGGCTCCGTCAGGCTCTGCTACTCCATCATCTACGCCCTCATCCTCGGGTTCGGGTTCGCCATTGGCGCAGAATGTTATGTCATCTTCACAGGGAGTAAGATATACGGTTCTGGAGACCAAGTTTGTTCAGTGGTTCATAATTCACCGCATTGGTATCAGAAGACGCCGAGCAAGTTCTGGGGTGGGTGGTTTTTTTCCATGACATTGAAACTCGCCTGACAAAATGGTGATTAACACACAGCGTTCTTGACGGTCCCACTGTATTCCCTTTTCCTCAGTATGCGGAACCAGGCTCCACTGAACCGGAAAGAAATGGTTTGTTATTCACTCGTTACAAATTCATCATTGGGATTAACGACCAAGACAGCCTTTACTCGTCGGCATCTCGTCCGTTGGCTGGGTCACCAACTACTTCACTGGAACCAAGTTTGTCGGACAAAGCGACGTAGTAGCCGGAGTAGGGTTCGTATATCTCAAAATACACACTCTAAAACAATTTGAAAACTAACCTACTCCACATGGAAACAGAGCTTTCGCAGTCGGCATCGTAGCCAACCTATACGCGCGTATATTCGATGGAAACGCTTTTGTAGTCATGGTCCGTCTTTTTCTCCCTCCTCCTCACACAAACAAACGACGTACAGATAACCGGCATCCTATTCCAACTCCCCTCCGGGCTAGGAAGCGGAGGACTACTCGTGTTTGCTACTGAAACCGCCGAAGGCTCGCAAACGTCGTCGATTGACGGGTTCAGCGTCGCGTTGAGGTTGATATCGGTGGCGATTGGGTTGGCTGTTGGGTTGGGCCTCGCGTCGGCTGTGGCGTTTCCGATTCAGAGTAAGAAGCGGGAAGGGGGGATTTTCAGTTTGTAGGCGAGGATGGGATATAGTAGATATAGACATCATTTTGTTCCATTACTTATACTACTTATCAATTGTACAAAATGCATCATGTCGACCGAAAGACTTGAGTTGTGTATTGCTTCGTTGCGAAAGTGCGTCGAGGCCCTCAAATATCATGATCTGCAACAATTGAGTGATCATCCAGCCCCCTCGAATCCTTCAACACCTCCTGCTCCTCCACCGCCATCCGGTCCTCCAACTCTCCCTCCCCTTCATCCTCGTCCTCATCGTCATCCACAATTTCCTCGTCAACCCCTTCCTCACCCTCTTCATCCACCACCTCCTCATCCACCACCTCCCCTCCCACGCCCACAACACCACCTTCATCATCATCCACATTCATCGGCACCCCCATCCCCAATATCGAAGACTCTGCACCGGCAAACGAGGCAGACGGACCACTACCAAGCGGGACGTTCGTGAACGGGGGAGGTAACCCAATCGTACCAGCCTTTTCTTTCCCTTTTGTAGAAGCTTTTCCTGCTGTGGATATTGAGCTTATAATTGAGGTTGTTGTTGTTGTTGGTTTTTTGGCATTGGTAGTAGGACCGGAAGAGGCAGAGGCAGATGCGGAGATAGATGGAATGGTGATGGTGGTCGTGGATCCGGACGCTCCTTTTTTTGTTTTTGCTTGCTCGCGGTAGACTGTTTACAGGGTGGTGATCAATGTAGGGAAAGGAGAAGAAGGGGGGGAAGGAAAAGGAGCAACCTGTCAGTTCACCCTGCAGCTTATCGACCAAATCTCCAAACTCGATGAGTTCCAGCGCTTTGAGGACGTCAGAGGCTGAGATGGATTTATGTTGCTTTGAGTGGGCGACGTCGTGTGCTCTGTGTTTCGGGGGGGGGTATTTGGAAGCGTCAAGGCGTTGGGGGAGGGACTTACGTAGCAGCTGCAGTAATAGAACAAGACAGCTGAGTGAGTCTTGGTCGGCTTAAGAGAGAGAGACCCACCAAGATAATTGATAAACACCGTCGACCCCTTTACTAACGAAAGCACGGTATCTTTTTGAAGCTTTGCGCTTTCCGGTATCTACATGTCATCAAATCATCCGTTCCTCCGTTACTGTAAAAGGAAGAATGCAGACGTACAGCAGACTTTGCAATCTTCAACACGACATTCTTTGGCAGCTCAAAGTTCTCAATCCCCTCTGAAACGAGGTCTTGTTGCTGTTGCGCTGAGATAGGGCCTGTGTAGGCGTCTTTGCGGGGCATTCTTGGTGGTGTGCAGGTGGGAGAAGAACGCGTTATTTACAGTTGTTTGCTGGTATGCAAACTGGAATCCCACGCGTCGGTTGTCCTGGAACGGATGCCGGTCAAGAACACGGACACGGACGCGCTGGGATTACTTGTGCCAACGTACATGCCGACGGCGCGGTGGAGGTGAGGTTAAGGACTCAGAGAGAAATTTCGGCAAGTTCAATCACAGACGCGTCGAATTCAAATTGACGCGATCTTGACGCGTCAATTTTGTGTGCCAAACATACCTTGATTCCCAGGAATTAAACGAGGTTGGATCGCCATCCGATTGATCTTAAAGAACAGGAAACAGATCTTGCCATCGAATTCTCGCGGAATCTAACAAAACTGGATAATGAAACTGATCAACACTCCACCCTTATGCTTGCTTTTCCCTCAGGCATCGGCAAGATTCAAGCTCTCCTCGGTTCTGAGCCTGACGCTCAATCTCCTCAACTACATCCAACATCGCCAGAAAGTTGCAGAGATGCATTAGAGGTGGTTTCTCTGTACAGTATATTGAATAGTGTGCTTCAACAATGAGATCGAAGGTCACAATCACGTGGAATGGAAGCTAGTGTTTGAATGACACTGTCTTTTCACAATCACAAGAAAGACCTGGGAGGCGTAAAGTCTAAAATCTGAACCTCACGGCCATTCAGGCCCAAGAAACATATGACGAGTCGTCCCGCCATTGGACAAAAGTCATAGACCACGGAATCAAAGTCAAAGTCTCTCCTTGATTCATTCCAAATGGAAGATCTGACGAAGGACCAAGTGGGATTGTTTGGGCGAGGTTTCAAAATGATGCCAATGGCAACATCCGAACTGGCCATTGTCAATATATGAAGAAATCCGTCTTCTGTTATGTGGAGTGGCCCTACATCATCTATTTCACGATAAATGGGAGGATTTCGGGGTTGGGAATGCTGGACGGAGCCAGAATGTATGGGAAGAATATTTGGCAGATCGGACTCCTGTGCAGTATCGATAGATTTGATTTGGTAGAGTGCCATCATTGAAATTTCATCATAATAGATACCAAACTGGTTCTGCGCAAGTTCCGGGAGCCAGCATGAGGGGAGAGCTACCCTTGGGCCTTGTTCAGCTATAGAGAGGTATGCCAGACGAAGCTGCGGTTCCAGTTTAATATGGCCATTGATCAACGGTGTTAGGTCAGGTATTGTCCACAAGCGAAAATCGGTAGTATGGAATGTGATCACATTTTTATCGAAAATAAACGTCTACAGGCAAGAATGGTGAATTGAAGTTAGAATCGGACGAACAACATACCTCACATAGGTAACCTGGTTCATCATCGGAAATGTCCCCACTGACACTAAGCCCATCTGCCGCGTACTTCCAGACTGTAAAATAACTATCTGCACGTCGGTGACAAACCAGATAATCTTTGGAACTGGTTATCCTAATGTTGTAGGCATTAAACCACAAGGTGCTTATTCGGCTGAATCGTGGGTCCTCAGAAGTCGGGTATATCTCATAGCAAGAGATCCTTTCAAAGAAATCAGTCTCGATAATTCAAAATAAAAGTGATGGCTTACCTTCTATTCTGCTCACTTGTGAAGACATATAGAGAGTCTGAGTTTGATGCAGGTCGGATATGTTCGACGCAGCTGGGCCTTGCTTCAGAGCCTGCCAAAGTGGCAACGGGTAACGATTTCATGTGTCCTCCAGCATAGTTGCCTATATCCCAGAGGTGGACCTCACCCTGACGGTTTGAGGTGAAGAGGAATCTACCACCAGGCACGAGGTGGACTGTAAGTATCGAATTCGCCGCCAGGTCACCTCCCTGGAAATGCGGAGCAAACGGGCGAGTGAGGAAGGGCGTGGTTTTGTCGGCCTTCTGAAAGCGAGCCCGTGATTGATGAGGGGAGAGAGCTGCATGTTCCAGGTCATCACTCGACATTTGTTCCACCGGAAAACTGGGCAAGAACACGCCCTGTGCGATGCTGACGTTCCGGAGGGCGTTCACCCACACAATCCGCGACCGAGTGGTGCCAGAAACATGTTTACATGTCTGAAAAAACAAAACTTAAATCACGACTTTTGCACGAAATGGGTTCGTAGAGACACTCACGAACCGCAAGGCAAGTATGTCGATTGGATCCAAGAACAGTTGAATGAGAGTGAGGAGCTCGAATGGGCCTTCAGCTAGAAGCTTGCCAACGCCGGTCATGGACGAGAACTTTCCAGGAGAATCCATGTCAGCGTCCATGTCGACCTTGCGCCGACCATGCGCTCAATTACTTACATAGTGACATGTCACAGCAGGCACACCGAGCACGTGATATGACATATCGGACGCGTCGCAGGGTCGCATTCTTCAATTTCTCCAAGTTGACGCGCCACCGTTTGTGCCGATATCAAGGGGCTACTATCAAAAAATTCTTCCAAAAAGCCAAATAGCTCTCACAAAGAAGCTGAGAAGTACAGATCGAGCCAAATAAAAATCAACAAACTTTTTTGTAAAGCCAGGTTCGCAAAAACGATGGCAAAGAAGAAGTAAGTCCCTGTATTATGTTTCTAATCTAATGCATTATTGTATTGCAGAAAAGGGTCTACGTTTACGAACGACAGCACGCTTCAGTGCCCAGAATGTGAGAGGGATATTCATGTCGGTCCAGGCGGTGAGGCAAATCTGCAACATCACATCAGATCGAGAGCATGCAAAGCCGCCGTCTCCTCAAAAAGGGAGCTACAAAACACGCCGTCCATTCGCTCCTTTTTCGCACCAAAAATCCTTCAGAATCCACCGACGACAGGCGCGACCCCGCTCCTTCATTCAGCTGTACAGCCATCCAGCCCGACAAATGAACTTGAGAGCAAAACTGTGCCCCAAAGCGCAATGCGGAGGGAGCCTTGTCTCCTCGTGGGTAGCGAAGATGTGAGAGAGGGGGATGAGATACCTGTTCCCCAGGTTGTTCTTCCAGAAGGCAATGATGGCGACAGCCGGCGCACAGGGATCATTTGTGACAGCGTACATGTCGACCACACGCTGAAGGTGAGAGAAATTTCAGCAACAGACGCGTCGAATACAAATTGATGCGTCCGAAGATTGTGTCAGTGCCAAATTTACCTTGATTCCCAAATTTACCATTGTTTTTGAGTTAGTATAACTTGCGACTGTCATCCAATTGGATCCCAGATCCCAAAGAAGAATAATGAAACTAGTTGACACTCCTCCCTATGCATCTCTTGCTTTTCCATCAGGCATCCCCAAGATTCAAGCTCTCCTCAGTTCTGAGCCTACCACTCATCTCCTCAACTACATCCAACTTCGCCGGGAAGTTGCAGAAATGCATTAGAGGTAGTTTTACATTGCACGGTGTACTGTAACAATTGCATCGACGATCACAATCACAAGGAAGACCTGGGGGGCATAAAGTCTACAATCTGGATCTCAGGACCATTCAGGCCAAAGGAACGTACAATGAGTCGTCCCGCCATTGGGCAAAAATCATAGTGAACGTGAGACCTATTTGATTCTTCCCAAATGGAAGATGTGACGATGGACTGAGTGGGAATGTTTGGGCGAGGTATCAAAATGATGCCAACGGCAATATCACCTTCCCTTGTTATCCATGTTTGAAGAAATCCATCTTCTGTTATGTGGAGTGGCCATGCATCATCTGTGTCACGATAGACAAGACTTTGACGATACGGGACAGAGCCGGAATGTATGGGAAGGATATTTGGCAGATCAGACTCCTGCGAAGTATCGACAGATTTGATTTGGTAGAGTGCTAGCGTTAAAATTTCATCATAATAGACACCAAACTGGTTCTGCGCAAGTTCCGGGAGCCAGCGTGAGGGCAGAGCTACCTTTGGCCCTTGTTCATCTACAGAGAGGTATGCCAGACGAAGCTTCGGTTCCAGTTCAAAAGACGGCGCATGGCCATTGATCAACGGTGTTAGGTCAGGTATTGTCCACAAGCAAAAATCGGTGGTATGGAATGTGATCACATTTTTATCGAAAATAAACACCTACGGGCAAGAATGATGATTTGAAATCAGAATCGGACGAATAATATACCTCACATAGGTCATCTGGTCCATGATGGGAAACAACCCAACTGACACCAAGCCCTTTTGCCGCGTACTTCCAGACTATAAGAGTTCTGCGCGCATTTTGGTAACAAACCAAATAATCTTTGGAACTGGTTATCTGACTGTCGTAGGCATCACACCACAAGGTGCCTAGTCGGCTGAAACATGGGTTCTCAGAAGTCGGGTATATCTCATAGCAAAATATCCTTTCAAATAAATCAGTTTCGATAATGCAAAATAGAAGTGATGGCTTACCTGCTATGCCAATCATTTGTGAAAACATATAGAGAGTCTGAGTTTGATCCAGGTCGGATATGGTCGACGCGGGGGGGCCTTGCTTCAGAGGCCGCCAAAGTGGCAACAGGTAACGATTTCATGTGTCCTCCAGTGTTGTAGCCTATATCCCAAAGGTGGAGCTCACCCTTACGGTTTGAGGTGACGAGGAATCTACCACCGGGCACGAGGTCAACTGCAAGTATCAAATTCGGCCCCAGGTCACCTCCCTGAAGATGGGGTGTGAACAGTCGAGTGAGGAAGGGTGTGACTCTGGCGGCCTTCTGAAATCGAGCCAGTAATCGACGAGGGGAGAGAGCTGCATGTTCCAGGTCGTCATTCGACATTTGTTCCACCGGAAAACTGGGCAAAAACACGCCCTGTGCAATGCTGACATTCCGGAGGGCGTTCACCCACACAATCCGCGACCGAGTGGCACCAGAAAGATGTTTACATGTCTGAAAAAACAATACTTAGAACACAACTTTTGCACGAAATAGAGACACTCACGAACCGCAAGGCAAGTATGTCGACTGGATTCAAAAACAATTGGATGTGGGTGAGGAGCTCGAATGGGCCTTCAGCTAGAAGCTTGCCAACGCCGGTCAAGAATGAGGACTTTCCATCCATGTCAGCGTCCATGTCGACCGTGCGCTTTGAACACACACACGTCACACTGTGACCAGGAGTACTTTCAACGAGCACGTGATATGACATTTCAGACGCGTCGCATTCTTGACGCGTCGTGCCAATGGTTTGCAAACGCATCGACCGCCTCGCCTCCGCTACTTTATCCCTCGCCAATCTTCGCCGTCCCAACCCTTCAATTGGTGCCAAAGAGTGGAGGTATACCGAGATCGATGATACTTATAATGGCTGCTTAGTAAGCCGAAGCGAGGTATGTAACTCTATATCTACTAACCTCATCCAGCGCCCGTACGTTTTTTGGCCGTCGTCGGCAAGCTTCGAGCTCGTTCTCCCAGATCTAGAAAGTCTGACCTCATAGTAAAATACAACATCTGTCAGGCTTAATCGGCAGAGTCTGGCCACTGGTACGACTGCCAGTTTTCCCGCAAACAACGAAATCTCATGTACTGATAGCTAGTCGTCTTGACAGAAACGCACGCGATTTACGCAGACAAAACGCGTCGGTACTTCTGTGGTTCAAACAAAACTTGGACAAATTGACAAACCCGGTCCACGCTCTCCTTCGCCATTTTACAATTTCCTTCATATATTTGACATGCATCGATAAGCAGGATGAGGTGCTGGAAGATCGGTCTCGCAATCGAGTCGACGGATCATGACTTGCGAAAGTTGTGCTCACTGGCAGTTGAACCGATATCGATTGTAAGTACTTCAGAACACACATCATTTGATCATACGATCGTGACGCTTACTTGCACAATTGAGGCGACAGTGCAGCACTAGATGTGCCCGGATCTCTTCCCGAGTAACCTATGGACTCGTCGAAAACCTAGAAACTGGTAAGGAGACGCTGGTGAATTCATAGCGATTTCTATGACGCCCTCGAAAACCCACCCCATCTCGTCCCTGGTAAAATAGACGTTTTGCGTTTCCTGAACAATCTACCATCTTTAGTTCAAGCAAGTCCCATATATATTACCACCGTCGTCCGTGTGTTTTTAATAAGTCTGTGTGATATGAGTCTGGGACCACCCCGATACGATCTCGCTAGCTACGAAGTCTTGTTCAAAAAAACCCAACCAAAAGTCCTCACCTCCTCCCCCTTCTTCCCAAAATAAATCTCAGTCTCGTATACCCAATTCACCGTACCCGCAATCAAGCTCCTTAACCCTCTCACGTACCTCTCCACCTCTTTTCTCTTTTCATCTTGTTGATGTTGGTTTGAAGATGAGGGTGAGGGTGTAGGGTCAAAAATCGTACCAAGGATCCACGCCAGTGGGTTTGAGCTTGAGTTTGAATAGGATTCTGGCTTGAGAGAAACCAAAAGGTGAGATTCGGCGGTCCGGAACGATGTAACCGCGTCTTTGAGCATGGTACCAGCGAGGTTAACGGCGCCTTGTATGGATAGAGATTTGTGCTGCATGAGGACTGCTACGAGGTTATATTTGCACCCGTGGGATTGGTCGATTTGGTATGCGCATATGTCCTATGCATGCCCACTGATCAGCCACAGGAACTTGGAGCGGGTGAATTATTCGATGAAAACGCTTACAAGTGACCAGGCGTATATGTCGATCGTAGCTTGGGTAAGGGTTTCTATGTGTGGGGTTTCGTTTTCCTCGTCAGGTATACTGGAAATTTCGTGAAGTTCGGAGAGGAGGAGTAGGATACGTGTTCCGCTGATGTCTCGACGGAGATGGATGTATTCGTCTAGGGATGGTGTGTGGTTGTTGTGCTTTACTACAACTTTTAACTGCGCGTCACGGAAGGCAGCTGTGGAATGTGTGAAACGCGTGAGCCATGTTGGTGAGATGATGCCGGATGAGGTTTGGTATGCGCGTGTGATTTGTGGGACGATGCTATGTAGATGAGTTGATAAGAATGAAATGAACGGAAATGGATGGACGGACGCACTGCTTGAAGAGAGTATGGGATGCGAGTATGTCAATGCCGGTCACGTTGTTTTCCGGTGCTATTGTCCACGATGTTTCTTCTTCATCAGATGAGGAGAAGACCCGAGCGTTGGAGATGAAAAGCAATGTTAAAAAGTCAGTTAGGAGGCGTAGTTGCGGTGCATCGCATCTCGGAAAACACAGAGCTGCTAGTAAGCCCATTTTCATGGACGTTATCCCGCTACGTTCACGGGGAGAAAGCACGGGTGTGCCATTATCGGTGTCCGTGAGATTGGATAACCATTTCTGCGAGGATTCTGAAGCAAATCTGCAACTGTGGTTTGTGTGGAGGTCAAAGTCATCAGTTAGAGCGATAAGGTCGATGACTTGAAAGCTGTTCGCTGAGGACATAATTATTTTACATGATTGCGGTTGTGAATGGTGTACTTATTGTTCACCGATTGGGATTCTCAGGGTCGTCAATTGACCGGACCGGAGCTATTGACATCAAATATTTATGTCTTTTCTTTCTCACATGGACCACCGTTGACAACTCTTCGAATGCCAATGGCCACCAACGATTTTCGCAATGACGGGTACTCATTCCCCCCCCTCAAGTATATAAAGTACTAACAACTTATCCAACAGGTTCTCGTCAGACTCGTTCTATCCACCAATCGACAAACCCCCCTCTGGCCCCCTTATCTTCAACAACACAAATCCATCGACATACTCTACCCATCCCGACGAACACACTCCAACCACCCCCACTAAAACAAGACCACGACCAACCCGCCAAAAATCCACTCAACCCACTCCCAAACACTCTAGATCTCCAACAGAATCCAAGCGCTCCAGCGTCAGTGCCACCCAAAGCCAAGGCCCAAACTCCCGTCACAGACGCGAACGCGAACGTGCCCTGGCGGATATACCAACCGAAACTCTTATCCAGCTAGTCATCAATGAAGAGCTTGAAGCTCAAGAGACGAGAAAGGTCTTGAGCACCACCTTTGCCCAGCTAGAGGCCTCGACGCGCAAGGCTGAGCAGGCTGAAGCGAGGGGGCGCATGTTGGAGGATGAAAGGGAGGCGCAGGCGTTGAAGATCACTCAGGCCATTTTAGACGCCCAGAGGGAGTCGGCGAAAGCCAAGGAGGACGTAGCGGTTTACCAGTTGAAACTCGCTCACGCAGAGCAGGAGATGTACGTCCCATCTCTCCTTTTTTTTCTTTGTTATCTTTCCTTATTTATCTACCTATACAGTCAACGTGCTAAAGAAGTAGTCCACGCCGTCGAAAACGAGCGTGACGATGCCGAACGGGCAGCAGTCAAAGCGCGCAGAGTGGCACGAGAACTAAAAGAACGCACCGTCGTCCAACTCGCACGCGAAGAAGGTCGAAGGGCCGGTTTTGAAGAAGGCATCCGACAAGGCCGACTCCTCGCCACCGTCGAGATCGTCGAACAGGCCAAACCTATCCCTCCAAGGTTACTGGGAGACGGCACGGCGTTCATCGAAGAAGCCGCTACGGAGGAACAGGGGAGGTCTCCTGATTCCGAAACTCATCAATCACACTCGAGAAGGAAAAATGGGGGTAGAAGCGCACGCGCTACGCCACGGACTCAACGTCGGTCCTTGGATACGAGCATGACTACTTCTCGTAGTCGGAGCAGCGCACCTACGAGTCCTACTTCCATAGAAGCCGAATCATCCGCAGCTGCACTGCGTGCAATTGAGGAAAGGGAACGGAAGACGGTGCAGATGCGCTTGAGGATGCTTGAACGGGACTTGGAGCACGAGAAAGAAAAAGCGGCCCAGGTTGAAAGGGAACGGGAAACAGAGCGGCGACGCGAAGCTGAGAGACTGCGAGAGCTCGAACGAGAGAAGGATAGAGTCCGGGAAAGGGAGCATGCTAGGCTGCGAGAGTTGGAAGCGGAGAGGGAGCGGGAGAGGGAGGCAGCTGCTAGGGAACGAGAGAGGGAACGGAGGCTTCGAGAGAAGGAACGGGAAAGCGAGGAGCGGGCGAGGGAGAATGAGTTGAAGGGTATCGAGCGGCAGAAGCGGGAGCTTGAGAGGGAAAGGGAGGAGAGGGAGAGGGAGAAGGAGAGGTTGAAGGAAACTGAACGAGCACTTCAGCGGGAGCGGGAGAGGGATAAAGAGTTGGATAGGGAGCGGGAGAGGGAGTTGGAGAGGGAACGATTGAGGTTGCGTGCTCTGGCTATGTCTGTAGAGGAGCAGGATTCAGATGGGGATGAGGGGGCGCAGACACCCAGAGCGGCGCCTTCGAACCAGCTGCAGTACCTTGCTATGCCACCACCGCCCGTGATCGTCATGCCAGCAACAGACACACCCATGCCCGTCCCCATGTCCTTCCCCTCCATCTCTGGCTCTACACGACATTACCCCTTCCAACAACAACGCACCACCTCCTCTGGGTCTTCCTCTCAAGACCATAGGAATCCACGCAGAAGACGTACCTCTGACTCGGGCTCGTCTTCTTCTGATATGACCCAGTTTGATATATTGACGTTCCCTAACCCTCGTGAGGAGAGAGAGAGGGAGAGGAAGTTGAGTGCTATCCCTGAAGTGGCTAGTTCGAGGGGGGATAGTCCTAATACGAACATGAGCATGGACGCGGATGAGCCGACGTGGGTGAGGAATCCGCCTGTTGATCATGCCAAGGTTCAAGGGCATGGTACTGGTGTGGATGGTTGGAGGTCGGGTGTTGCTGGTGGTGTGAGTCTCCTTTTTTTTTTGAGAGAGAGAGAGAGAGAGATGAGTTTGAGAGTGCTAATGATGGTTTTTTTGCTTGCAGTCGCATTACCAGCCTGCATACCAACCTGATGATGCCAGAAATAGAGGCCAGTTCGATCAGAGCTTACTCACGCCTACCTCGAATTTGACGAGGAGGTCGTCGAGTAGTAGTTCACAGTACGATATCAACGTAGAGCCACCTGTACGTCTTCTTTTTCCTTCCCTCTTCCCTTATCCTCTTGCTAACTTTCCCCAACACAGTCCCCAGAAGTAAACCGCCCCTCATCCCGCGCAAGCTTCCACGAACCAGAAATAAGCCAAAACCTAAACTTCCTCTCACCAAACCACCGACCTGCGCCCCTCCCCACCTCCTCAGGCCGCCAACAGACGCGTAAAAGTGGTGATATCCCTACTGTGCCTAATTCCCCGGTCTTGGATGCGAGTGGTTTACCGCCCGGATTCGTGCCTCAGAGCTTTACCAGTCCCAGTCCAGCTGCTGGTGGAGGAGGAGGGGGTATGACGCCGATATATGGTTCTTCTCGTCCATCGTCCACTGCTCCTGGCCCTGGTCCGAAACCGTCCATCTATGCCAATCCCACCCGTGAGAGTGCGGATGAAGGACAAGGACAAGGCTTTGTCGCTCCTGCTCCTCCTGCGTTTTCGTTTACGCCTAGGTCAACACAGAATTTCTTGCCTGTTATTCCTGATGCCCCTTCTTCTGCTGCTGCGGGCCCAAGGGGTCCTTTGGGTCCTGGGATGACGCCTAGGGCTGGAACGAATGGTCTTCCAGGGGGATCTGGTTCTGGAATTTACGGTCGACCTAATACAGAGGGGTCGTACGAGACTCCCAGACGGGAGGGTAACGGGGCGTTACCAGGAGGAGGAGCAGGCGTGTATGGTCGACCTTCTGAAGGGCAGACATACGACCCAAAGCCAAGTAGCGCCTATTCCTCGAGCTCAGCCGCAAAGTCATACATGTCCCACATGCCTGATCCCGTTATACCCTCCGCTGAGGCGTTACGCGGGACGCCTAGGCAGAGGGCCGTGGTGCCCAGTATGACGCCTAGAGCTGCTGGTAATAACCCTCTTCCTGGAACTGGTTCAGGTATATATGGACGACCATCAGAGGGACAGACGTACGATGCGGGGAGCGCAACGCCTAGGTCGACGTTCCCAGGTGGACTGACGCCTCTTTCGGGCACGCAAGGTTTGCCAGGGATCTATGGAAACCCATTAAATTCAGAGGCCCAGACGCCCCGGACTGCTTCTCAAGGATTACCCGGCGGGATCTACGGACGCCCGAACGAGGGTGGTGGTGGTGGTGCGACTCCAAGGCAGGGTATGACGCCCCATTCTTCTACGCATGGGTTACCGCCCGTTAGTGGGATATACGGCCGCCCAACGACGGATCCGAGCGCGACGCCTCGGCAGGGGATGACGCCTTTGCTTGGCCATGGTGGGTCTGGGTTCCCTGAAGCGAGTGTGCCCAACGGTGATGATGCAGGGTGGGGAGGGAATGGGGGGGGTGATGATGGGTTTGATGCGGCTACGCACCAGAATACGTTCCTCAATTCTGGGGTGGGTTCGTCTAGCTCTGGGGCGGATAATAAACCTGCGGCTGGGAAGACAAAGACGAAGAAGAAGAAGCGGTAGGGAGGGATTTGATGCGCTCAAGAAAGTTGATCTATGTGACTCTTTTTATTTTTATGATTTTTCTTTTGTGGTTTTAGTGATTACCACCCTTTTTGGTTTTCTTTGTGGATGGAATGTAATGTTGTGGAATTCTTAGCTATACCCCCCTTTGTTTTCAGTAGTATCTTGTAGAGAATGAGATCCTTAGTTACTAACTCGAAGTCATCGCTTATTACATCGAAAGTCTAGATTACTACAGATTCACAAATCCAACAACAGAATCAAAGGAATGGACGGGTACATGTAGTACCGCTATAAGAACATGGGGTATCACAGTATGAAGGTATCAGCCCTTCAAGACTTGCGCACTGGCACTAGGGGTTGTTGATACTCGGCACGAGAATTTCCTGGAATGTTGTCATACGAAGGTGGTAGGACATTCCCAGCCGCAGGATCCGCTGACCTCCCCCTCGCTAACGATCCCAAGTCATCACCACTAGCCGACGTAGTAGCATCCGACATCGCACGATCGCCAGAGATGGTAGAAGAGTATCGCTCTGATTGTATCCCCTGTTTACGTTCAGCCGCAGTTGGTACATAACTCGACAACCCGTATTGCGTCACTCCTGCATCCAAGAAGGGAGAAATAGTATTTCCATTCGAAGGGGAAGAGGCGTGTCCCGGTGTTTGTTGCCTCATATTGGCGGCAAGGGGTTCAGATGCGTAATTGGTAGGTAGGGCAGTACTTGGTGCAATTTTTTGGGAAGCACTGCGTTTGCCATACCAATAAAAGAAGGCGGCGACTACGGAGAGCAGGATTAATCCACCAATGACGCCCCCTGCGATCGCTCCAGCGGGAGATGATGCCTTTGAGGAAGAAGTGGCTGACGCAGAAGAGGTTGACGTTGAGGAGCTGTGGGCTCCAGTGGCCCCTGCCGTCTGTGATTTTCCTGAGCTGCCGGTAGAAGTGGATGTGGATGCAAATCCAGTCAAATTTGGCATGGTAGCGAGGGATGAAAAGGTTGGTGTGTAGGTGAGATAATCGAAGATGAAAGCCTGGCTGTTTGTAACACTTGTAACATTGACAACGAGCGTGTGGTTTCCTGATTGGAGAAAGTCGAAACCGTATAGCAGATAGTTAGCTTGATCGCTTGAATTCCCCGTGAACTGGGGTGTACTTTGCGTGACTGTATATGTTTGAGAGAGGGGAGTTCCATCAAGAGTAAATGTCGCTCCAAATGAACCAAGTTTTTCCCAGCTCATGATTCCGTAAATGGACATAGACGAACCTTTGGATCATTAGCAAAGTGCGAGTCGACGTCAAATGCGCTTACCAGTAAAACTGAATGAAAAAGAGTCCCCTGCAGTCACACTTTGCCGTGTACTGTTGTGGTAAGGAAGACCATGTGGCAAGCTGCCAGGGACAAACAGGTTCGTGTTCCGTGTCCATGATCCAGTATACGTGATGGAGGGATCTTCGTTATCGACGATAACTTTTGTACCAGCGAGGGGGGTATTGGGGCCAACAGTGACGACAGCGAAATCGAGCGCTGTACCTGCGATATGGCTCAAAGAGATGTTGTGCTTTCCCTCAGCTAATGTGGGCGATTGATACCATTGGCGATACGACTGGGGAGAGGGATCGTTGTACGTGGTGTTGTACGGCGTACCACCGTCAATAGCGACTGTCAGGATCTGTGAATCCGTGAAAACTGGAGCGGTGTTCCCAAAGAACGCGATGGAAGTCCCTGTTCCAAAAGAGTCAGAACCTGAGCAAGGTGCACCCACAAAAACTAACCTTGGAAGGACAAAGATGCCGTCCCCGTCCCATTACCACCGATAGCGAATCCAGGATAGACGCAGGAGCCATTGTACCAACTTGGAAGGCTGCTAGGGGACCATGAACCCCCTCCGTAGGTCGCCCCGAGCGTTGTATCGTCAAAAATGAGCGAGAGAGATTGAGCAGCCATGACGGGGGGAGGAGGATAGAAGGAGGATAGAAAAAATAGAACACCGTTTGTAGCCGCGTAGCCGTTTTGTCACCACGTCGCGTCTCAGTTAGGGCCATTAGACATCAAACGCCTGATGCGTTATGACGAAAGACGCCGTAAGTTCTGTTCTTCTGATGTGCCTCCGTGAAAAGTAGGTTTGAAACTCGGGAGTTGTATGGCGATTAGATACGAAATAGCTGTGTCTCCGAAGTAGAAGCGAATCGCACAATTCGAGAACCAGGAAGAATGTTGGCCTTGAGACTCCTTGAGATCTGACACATAAGAGATTGGTTGGGTGCCGTGACCTTAGAAACCAACGGGAGTTCGGAGATAGGGCTCGAGGATGACATCGCCACTACTGATCCGACATGTCCAGTGGGCGCTGAAAATCTGATTAGTATCATGAGCTAAACAAGTTCAACAAGCCAACAAGCCAGGAAGTCTGACAGACGATGGTCGGTAGGACAAGTACGGATTCGCAGCAGTGCAGAATCCTGAAGTGAGACGAAGATGACTGCAGATGACTGTGGTACGTCTGGCTTAGTCTCTTGTACAGACCTTAGTATTACAAATGATAGTCGATTTGTAATGATATAAGGCTTGGCCTGGATCACAGTGTTGATGAAACACATCTTTCTTTCCCCAAGTTTTGACTAGAATGGCAAGTTTTAGTGCCGTTGCTCGTCTGGTCATTGCGTCCCTCGACCGGTGAACAGTTTTGCAGAAATACAGATTCAAAGTGCAGATGCTTACAAGAAACTTGTGGCAAGCCTGTCCGTATCGTCCTCGATTCCCATGTATGAGGTGCGTATAACTGGAGCCTGACTAGGCTGTTAGATGGCGGTAATCAGTCCAATGAAATTTGAAGCTGCAATCCAGATTCCAGATGGCCAAGGCAAACGAAGGCGAGAAAGAATGACAATTATTTAAAATGCCAGTGGGTAGCACAATATCTAGGTTGTACTTCATCGTGTTTGTTTCCACCTTCAGTCAGGAGCTAGCTGGTATGAACAGAATCTCAACACGTCAAAAGAGCATGAGAGGAAAGGAATTTAAATTGGAAAAAAAAAAGGAACGTGAGGTCATCAGGCATCAATGCATATAGTAGTGATAATCGTGCAGACTCTGGAATTAGAAGGGGGAAGAGGAAAGTAGAAACACAGGGGGTGGAGACAGAGATAGAGATGGAGATGGAGATAGGAAGTGTACTATCATTGAGTAAGAAGCGTAAAAGACAGAAGAGAAAGAAAGAAAAAACCGGACAATATACCAACCAACAAACACTAAAAGACCACAGTTTCCCACAACCACCTAGGCCTAGATATCAAAAAACGGCCGTTCCGGATTAACAGCCTGTTGCTGCTGCTGCTGGGCAAAAGGGTTATGCGGACTAGCCCCCGTCCTCTGCGACACAATCTGCCTCCCAGCATCAGTGTATCCGTACCTACACCACCAAACCAACGTCAGTCTCACTCTACCCCGAGGAAGTAAACGCACCTCAAAGAACCGATATTCCCAAACGTATCCTGCCCATCGTCCCGATTAGCGAACAACGCAGCCAAATGCGCCTCATTCTCTCCCAGCTCTTTCTTCGTCTTAACCTGGATCGGCCGGTTCTGGTTCTGGTTCTGATTTTGCGTGGGCACAGGGGAGGAAGACAAGGATGAGACGCGGGAGGGAGAGTGCGTCTCGTACGTTCCTGGGAGGTTGAATGAGGGGCTTGGGCCTTGTTGTTGGGTAGGTCTTGGGGATGGGTTGAATGCGGATGGAACGGGGGAAGGCGCGAATGGATTATTTGACCTGGGGTAGATCGCATGAGATTTTGGTAAGAGAGGGGAGATGAGGAAGGAGCAACGGACCCAAACCCAGTGGGTTGAGCTGTCAGTGGCTGAGAAGGGGCGAACAAGCTCTGGTTCTGAAGTTGCTGTTGCTGTTGCTGCTGCTGCTGCATCTGATAGAGCTGCTGTTGACGCATCATCTCCTCTTGCTGCTGTTGCTGTTGTTGGGCTTGTTGTTGCTGGAGCAAGAACAATTGCTGTTGACGCATGAACTCCGCCTGTGGTTGTGGTTAGAAGACACGAATCAATAGGCAAGAAAGAGTGATGAGGACCTGCGCAGCTTCTTGTTCCGCCTGCTGCTGATAGGGATTGAACGACGTGAATTGTGGCTGGACCGACGTGAACTGGGGTTGAACGGCGGTAAACTGTGGTTGGAGGCCGGTAGCGTACGGCGTGGGGTCGACGAAGGGGAACGGATTGTTGGAGGCTGGTGAGGGGCTGCTCAGACAAACGGCATCAGGCTTCAATCACCAGAACGAGAAGACACAGAAAACGCACAGCTGCTGCGCATCGTCAAAGAGGGAAGAAGCATTTGAGCTGTCCACATCTTGTTTTCTCCTCGCTTCCTCCTCCTCACTCAACTTGAGCGCATGCTGGAAATCTCTTTCCTCCGCATCCCTCCTCTCCTGAGCTAAAGACTTCTTACTCTCCTCAATGGCCTTCTTTAGTTCGTCTTCATCCCGATTGGGCCGCTTTCCAGTAAGTCCATTGGCCCCACTTCTACGGCGCGCATTGTTCTCGTCCTCGTCCTCGTCATCGCCCGTGCTTCCACCGCGAATCATCCGATCCCGCATGGACGCCCGGGATCGGCGTTCTTCCCTTAGTCTACCTTCGTCCTGCAGGAGATTGGTGATGTCCTTTGCCTTTTGTCGGACATTGGCGCCTTGGTCTTTGCCATCCTCGTCGATGTACTGGAACTCCTTTAGGGTCTTGATAATGTAGATGTTGTCGCGGAAATAAATAACGACGTTCTCCGAGCCTTGGTGGAGGCAGTAATCGAGGACAGTTAAGCTCTGTGTGGCATTAAGTAAAATTAAAGTGTGGCACATATGAGAGATATACCTTGAAGACATGTCGCCAATTCTTCCCCTTATCGTTGAGTCGCTTATCGAGCATCTCCATAATCTCAATGAAATCATTCCTGTAGTCGAGCGTAGATGTTAGCAGTTGGTGTGCAACGATTAGGAGACTCCTGACTGGTTATAAGTCATTTGTGCGATATCGTTCATCTGAGTTCCTGATGGGCCCCATGGGTCGTTTGATGTTGCATCTCGAACTTTGGATTGCGTGTCTGAGTAACCTTTTGTATAGTTCTTGGTGACTCGGAGGGCTGCTTTGCCAAAGTGCTGCATGGCCGGAAGGAAAGCTTGGTGGGCAGATTTGCGTGATCGGTCCAAGTTTGGTACAAAGTCTGATTACGTGACCCTGCTTCACTCATCATCGATCATCAGCCAATGCGCAGTATCCTACACCACAGCATAAGCCACCGGCACTGTCGCACAACTTATACAAAACAATAACCGAGTTGTTGTACTTTTTACAACAGTGCAAGCCTGCAAGGCGGCGTTTCCAACAGCGTTGTTGATGTCTGTGTACAATGTACTCACCTTGCACAATACGACCACACAACGCATTAATGACAATCCGATCTTTGATATTGTTCCCTGGCATCGAGTGTGCGCTCGGGCTGAGTCAAAGGAGGCCCTGGCGACCTCGTGACCTTGGCGCATGCCCACTGTTCACGCTTTTGACCAGAACATGAGGACGACGTCCAGTCCATGTAAGAAATCCCTTTATAATTTGCCCCATCACTTTCTTTACTTACACTGGTACCACCAGTGATGGCAGCGACCAAGCCACCCCACAAGCGCCGTCGATTAACTGGTTCGGCGACGCCCCCACCCACGACGATGCAGCCTCCTCCAGGAAAGGTTCTCGCAGCAAGCAACAACACAAATGTAACTGCAAAGCCCGCCAATGGTATCCCCGTTTGCACGTCGTGCCACCGGGCCCTAAACGCGCTCCAGGGGAACCTTTTACATTGCGCTCGGTGGGTACCCTACTTATCTCCACCTCAACAAGATTTTTTGAGCCATCTTTACAGTTGCTCGTCGACAACATGCGCCATATGCTCCCGCGTATGTACCGCCTGCGCCCCTTCCCTGCCGCCCACGCCTCACCTCTCCTGGTCCCCCTCGCCTTCACCATCACCACACGCCTCACCGCGCCGCTCGGCACTATCACTTCACAGTGTCAACACTAATCTTATCACCACTTCCAGTGGCAGTTCCTGGCCACACGTGACTAATAATAACACCGTCGCTGGCAAAAGGCGGAAGGTGGCTGACAACGATGATGATTCGGATGGAGCAGATCGCCGCTATGAACGGGCCACCGGACATCACAGTTCCTCAGACCTGGATTTGTTTGGGTGCGGACCTGGATGTGGACGCACGTTGTGTCGTAATTGTTGTTTTGAAAATATCCAGAAGTAAGTCATCCTCAAATTGACCTTACACCGAGTTGTTGATGCGGATTCCTTCTGCCAGCAACGCGACAACATGTTATGATTGCTATGGATCCTACTAATATTGGCCAATTGAAGGATTGAAGGACACTAACATATTTTTCACCTGCACATACTCACGCTCATCTCCTCTTCCAACCCTTTCTGATTCCATTTCTTATTGATATCCCTCATAAACCGCCAATCGATATCCGTAAACGCAACACATCCAAAGTCTAAATGCAACACTCATATTCATCTTCCCCAACCGTCTCCGCTCCATTCCTTATTGATACCATAAACACAACACATCCCAGCTCAAAATCCAATCCCCCTTTTGCCCTCCCTTAACCTGTAAAATCCTTTCACGCTACGATACACAAGGCAAGATGGCCGAGCGGTTAAGGCGTGTGACTCAAGCGTAGCTTACCTGCATTCGCGGGTTCTCATCATCGTATGATGGCGTGGGTTCAAGTCCCACTCTTGTCAACCTTTTTGTTACTACGGCGATTGGATACTTCATGCTTTAGCGGCGGGCGAGCCCGCCCGGTCCCCGACTCTTCTTTTCTTTTTTTTTAGTGGGCGATAATCATGTTCAATGATAGATAGCTACGACGACGTTATTCTCTACCAACGTCGATAGTCGCGACTCGCAGCCTACGCCATCTCCAAGTGATATCGTGGCCTGGGATGGCGTCTGCTTCAGAATTCGTTTTTTTTGGCTCTTCGTATGGCAAACAATAGGTCCGATGTACAATCATATAACGACAATCGAATAGTGTCAGTTCTAGCATCCTACGTAAACCTTGCAGCAGACCACGACTTCCACGACGAGGACAGTCTCGTCTTTGGCTACGCGAGTGCCATGGCATCCGATTTGCCTACATCGTTTCCAATCTACATAGCTACGCGAAGGCAGACCAGAACCTTCGCTCAAACTCTACTTCCAATCTCAGACACATCTCTTGACTTTTTTGACTCCGAACGAAGATCATGGATTCGTCCGGAAAACTCAGGTAACGTTTTGAGATCCGACAACACAGTATTCCCATAAGTAGACACTTTTCAAGATCCGATAGAATTTTCTAGCAATCGCAATTGGAGCTATTCAAATTCAATTCAGTAGAGAGTCGTTCGCGTTTGACAGAACCCTCCTTAGAGTCGGGGATGCATTGTTTGAAGCTTCTTTAGCTATGACTTGGAGAAAAAGCCCGAAAGAATGAAGACGCATATCCTGTTATTTACGAGTGTAAGTAAACCGCTCATTGCGGATTCTAGTTTTCCAGTCTTGAACACTTGAAAATCTGGTTCTTAATTCGCGACCCGGACAGCGCAAGTGGTGCTGCCTTCAACGCAACCTAGAGCTAATACCAGGGGGGAAGATTCGGAAGCCCAGCGACCACACTTTCTCGCAGTAAGTTGTACGAAGGGTTGACGAAGGGACCTGTTATCAGCTCAGGTGGTGAAGATGTCACTCTGCGCCTCAGAATCTATCATTAGGACGAACGTTCCATATGCTTCTACAACGATTTTCCTCAATTCTTTTGCAATTCTTCACATCCACACGTGGTTCGACGCGTAAGGTCACATGCTGAGATTATTGTCCGCGCTTACTCAGCCTGTGCTTGACCCCAATGAAAAGATTATCTTTCGTCGGTCAAACTTATCCTTGGTTTGAACATGATCCTGGAAGTTGATCCCTGCTTACCCCTCCTTACTCAGATTTCGGTCAGCGGAAACAAATAGTGCATAAAATGCACATCGCTCTCGCCGTTGCGCGTCACTGCAGGTCAAAAAGCCTTTCCCGGGTTGGTCGCATCCATACTGGCACTCCACGGAACGGACTACTCAAGCCGAAAGCCGGGACGGGATTATGGGCGGCGGGTTTCTAACCTCCCTCTTGCGCGTGGCAAAGAACTCGCGAGAGGTACGAGACATCGTTAACGAGGCCGCCCGCAGATTTGAAGGCACTATCCCCTGGCAATTGCTATCGGCAGCCGCCCACGTCAGTGCTGGTCCCTCTGTCGACGACCCAAAATTGGCGGGCACCCTCCTCGCAAGCATCTCCCCCAAGGACATCCCTTACGTCCGGGAAGGGGTCCTGAGGGCAGTACTTGGAAACGCATCAAGGCACAAGAATCGTACAGTGGCGCTCAACGCCTTTCGCCTCCTCGTGGCTCGAAATACTCCCCTGATCACCACGGACTACGCCCGCGTCCTTCATAGTGGCATCGACTCAAGTGAAGAAGAGGCTCGACTCGTGCATGAGCTGCTCTAGCAACCTTGTTCAACTGAACTTGACCCGCGCACCATCGGTGTGCTGCTTAAAGTGTGCCATGTACGTCACAACTTTGACTTGGCGGACCGAGTATGGCAGTGGGCTGCACCACGACGGCACGTTAGGCACGGAGATCAGGAGTTGTGCTATGTCGTGGCTCAATATCTGCTTTTATGCGGCCGAGCGGGCAATAAAGAGGTCGCGCATCAGGTCTGGCAGGAAGCTAAGAAGATGGGTCTTGCTCACCTTCCAGTTGTGACTGGAAGCATGTTGTCAGTACTTGCTATGCATGGTGCCGACGGCGAGACGCTAGAACTACTCAAGGACATTCCACCCGCTTCCCTCAATTCGCACATGGTGACTGCGGCGCTCACCGCCTTCTCCCACTCCGGCAACGTCGATGCAGCCCACGCCTTGTTGGAGCAAGTAGAAATGCACGAATCCCAAACTCCTATTGCAAGCATACAGTCATACACTGCTCTCGTGGACGGCTACGCGCGCAGTGGGGACTTTACATCTGCTCTCGCAATCATCGACCACCCCAAGCGTCAAAAGGTTGGAGAGGATGACGTGATGTGGATGACGGTGCTCGGTCCCTGTCGTCGTTTCAAAAACCTTCCAGTCGCGCAGACCGCATTCGTAGCTATTCAGAGGCTAGGCTCCCCTGAACACCGTGCGTCGGCATACGTCCTCATGTCTGACATCTACAATGCCTGTGGTGACACCATGGCTGCTCTCCGCATGCAACAGGAGAGGCTGAGGAAGGGACTCATGAAAGAGCGGGGTGCGGTCACGCTAACGATGGACAACGGCGAAACACATGTGTTCTATGTCCGGGAGGTCCCGCCTGCGCTCGTACCTGCCAGACGTGCTATAGAGCAGAAGCTCAAGGAATGGACTCGCTGGTTGGGGTTATGTGGCATCAGTGATGAGTCCATCCGGTGCCAGCACAGCGAGAAACTCGCGCTTGCATATGCTGTCACACAGGGCATGAGACAAATCACCCTACGGAAGAACCTTCGGATATGTGATGCCTGTCATGAGGCCTCGAAGCAGATTACCATCTTTGAATCCATTTCGATCCATCATTGGGACAGGTCAAGGATGCATGTTATGAAGGATGGGAAGTGTTCTTGTCATGATCGATACTGAAATTGTTATTTTTGGTGTCTGTCAGCGAACTAGACCTACATGTTCTTGTTAAGCGTTAGATCATCCACTTTCCATTCTTTCCGGTCCCAGTCAAAATCCTAGTGCTTGAATGGTACACCACCACTGAGTGTTACACTTTTGTGAAAAAAATGACTAGCTCACTCAAATATGCATATTTTTTTAATGAAACATACATTTTCTATGAGCAATATTCTTTCACATTGGAATGGTGTGTGCAAAAAGGTAGAAAAACTTTGACAAGAGTGGGACTTGAACCCACGCCATCATACGATGATGAGAACCCGCGAATGCAGGTAAGCTACGCTTGAGTCACACGCCTTAACCGCTCGGCCATCTTGCCTTACATCCCTTAATCGCTGATGGAATACTAACGCCTTCGACCGTCCACTAGTAAACTCTACGCACATAGTAAGGGTTACGACTACATTAAGGCGAGGTTGCTTTATGAAACCGGACCCACATTCCGCCCTAAAACATCAAGTTAGACGAAGCAACTCAAGATTGCACAGTACTATGTACCTTAATATATAGTGTCAGGGCAGCGCTTGGCCATACCTTTTCAAACCGCTGCCTTCCACTACGGTCTTTCCATTCGATTGGCGGCAACGATCCCTCGGGTTGGAACTCCTGCGCGAGGGTAAAGCGGTCAAACTTCTGTAGCAGCCGAACGAGAAAATACGACATCTGATTGTACGCGTAATTTTGGCCAAGGCACTGCAAAAGTGAGTTGTTGACAAACGTCCTAGGAACGATACAGGCGAAACTCACAATTCTCGGCCCAGCGCTAAACGGCGAAAACATCGCAGGGTTCGCTGTGAATTTGGTGATACGCTCAGGTTGTATCCAGCGCTCCGGGTCGAAGGCATCGGCATCGTCGCCCCATAGCGCGGGGTTACGTTGTGTCAGCAGGGGGAGGTACACAATTGGCGTTTTTGCTGGCATGTATAAAGGCCGCGAGTCCGGTTGTGGGTATGAAGGATCGGAAGGTGGAAAAACGCATGGAGATGAGCGCGTTTCGCGGACATTCAAGGGGACTGGGGGAAAAAGACGGAGCGTTTCGTTTATCACTGCACGCACTGGATTTTCAAAGCGTTAGGTGGGTGGGCTATTGACGTGATGAGGAATCGTACTATATTTCATGTTTCTAAAATTCTCAAACGTTCCGGATTTTGTGGAACCACAATGATCCAGGACCTCTGCGCGTAATTTGGCCGTCACGTCGGGGTGGATGGCCATGAAGTAGGTTAGGTACGTCAATACACCTGCCGTCTGCAGATTTATCAATCAATGACCGTAGCAGAGCTCTGAGAAGAAACCGACTGTATCCCGAGATGCGAGCAACATGCTCAACAACTGATCCCGAATTGCGACAGAGTCTATTTATATTATTTCCCGTTAGCATCGGAAATTATAAACAGCGAATCAAAGCTCTTCACCGTTTGTAGTATCAGCCAGATGCTGTAAAAACGTCTTTTCCGCGATGGGGCTCATTACACCGGCCGAATCTGCTCGCCTCTTTGCTTCCAATGCCTGTTGAACAAGAGGGTCTAGCCATTGGTGGATTACCTTAACATGCCGCTCATTCTTGTCGCTGAAAAATTCAAACAGGGGCCACAGGTACCCGATCCGTCCCCGGTTGGTGACGTTTTGTTGTGCCATCTCAAACGCCTGTGCAAACGAGCCCCATGCGTCCTTGGTGGCCGACCCTTTTGGGCCCATCGTGGTGCATCCAGGAACCGGGAGCGACGCAGAAAGCGTGTTCAAGTTTTTCCCAAAAAGAAACTCGGACGCCGCGTCAAGTGTAAAGCGAGCGTACAGGTCTTGCACCTCACAAGGCTGATCTCCTGATGATAGAGAGGAAATAATGGATAACGTGCGGGAACAGTATTGTTCAAAAATCTCGAAATCCAGAATGCGTTCGCGTGCAAAAAATGGACGCGCTGTGGCGCGATGCTACATTCCGAGAGTGTGTTGTAGGTGCCGAACTTAGAGGGAGTGTAAAACTGACCGTTTTCCAAACCTGTTAAGAAGAGTTCATTGGCTATCAACTCGATATGCTAATTGACCCACATCGTCATCTCTATTGAATATACCTTCACCGAGTAGCGTCTCCCTGTAACTTTACCGTCAGAAGAGGGTCGAAGGTTTGAATCTATAGAGAAGCAACAAACATTCGTTCTTTTTGAGCGGGTCCTCTCCAAAAGCGTTGGAAACCAGTTGCTAAGACAAATTTGGCATGTTCCTGGTCCATTGAAATAATCTGTATGATAATCATCAGCTTCGAAAAAGAACCTTTTTCGCGGATAAAAAAGTGCCATAGAGCGCAAAATTCCCGAAGGCGCGAGAGCATATACGCGATACGTACAGCGTCAGACCACAATATCCTTGTGTTTATGGTAGTGCATTGATATTCCTCGAAGAGTTGAAGGTAGACATCCAAGACATAACTAGATTTGAACGCCCTTATCATATTGAGCAAGACGTCGATATTTCCAGGCCATTTCCCTACAACGCAGGGTATCAGTCTGGCGCCAAGTAATCTAGCTTCCCTTTCCTGCATAGATCTGCGATATAAATTCCTAGTTGTTCCCCATAGAAAAATGAAAGCAACATGGGCGGGTAGTGATAAGACGCCCAGTCGATATTGTCTTTGAGACAAGACAAGAAAGAGCACGAGCACTGGAAGCAACAGGGTCCAAAAGAGATCACAGAGCAATCGTACGCGGTAATAGGCAGGATTCATGATGGATGACGAGAAAAATCGCAGGACGGCCAGTTAAAAGACGAAGAGGGAACGGCAGATCACTGTTTCGTCAATGGCCACACTGCTTTTCCTGCCCTTGGGTGATTTTAAGTCGAATCAGACAACACCCGGCCTGCAGTTGGCTGGTGAGCCAAACACATATAAATATCGGTGGACGTCGCACCCCGAGATCATGTCCAAATGGTCTTTCGAAACCGTCACGGTTACAAGGAAAAAACCCGAGATATGTGCGCAACCGCTTGATGGTCCTCCGGAATATCCTCGAGCACGCATCGCTACTCCCTACACGATTTGAATTTCGTGGTGCTGGCTCTGCTTAATTTGTAGAGAATAAACGTCGAAGCCAGGCAAGTTGATGTATCATGGTCATAAGCAATGCCGACAGGCAGCCCGGGCTGCGGCGTCTTTGATGCAACGAATTTACCGACATTCGATGTCAGAAGAATCTTGGGCGGTATTAGAATGGTTCCCAGGTTCGCGTCTCACGGACTGGGATAACTTATCTTAAAGAAGGCGCTCAATCGCCACCGTAGAGGGCTGGGAATGCGGCATGTCGCATCTCGGAGTCATACCTCACCAAAATAATCGCATTGCGTGTAGGCGCGTGTCCTTCAACAGGTTTAGGCTTTTTCGTGTGCCTTTCCCATTCGCAACGTAAGCTAACATGCAGTCTGCCATCGTACAGTGGCAACGACGTTGAGCTGTAGGGTCGTATTCATCTTGAAAATTTCCAAGTTTTTGCGCCAACATCTCCGTTTTTGCAGGCCTCGCCCTACAAGGGGTGAGCAATCTCGATGTGATGATTATCACGTATTATTAACATGCCTTTGTCAATGTAAATATCTAGGTACTTTGGGCTTCTAAAATCCGCACGTTATCTGCGGTTGACAGATTTTCTGATTATTGAAGGAGCGCCCGCTTGCCACTTAGAAATCCCGCTTCGATGAACTTAGCCGCTCGCACAACTTGAAAAGAGTCACCTTCGGGCCCCAGCCTGGCGGCCGAATCGGATCAACGCCCCGTAATGAGTCCGTGCAGCAAATTGCAGTGTGTGACCCATGACGTCTATTGATAACTGAACGGCAATCGGTGGAGAGCTGGGAGGCATATCGTGTTTGATTTCACGATATTCTCTCGCCTTCGAGCTTTGTATTTGGAGGGTAGTGTCTTGAATCGCGTTTTGAGTCGGAGAATTGTGAACAAAAAGCCAAATCTAGTGAAGGCGTCCCTCGGTAAATAATACCAGTTATCCCCAAGATATCACAATCAGAATCTACAGGAGTGTTTGATCGTGATGAGTATGCGAATAAGACGTGCCGCGGGCCAGGATTGTACCGAAATCGAAGCAAGGCTGCTCCATAAGAAAGCACACTTCCATGATATCGTGGTGTCCTTTCTTTCCCCAAGATATCGGCCCAGGCAGTATTGGCTATCATCCGAAAAATCAACAGGTGGCACACTCGGAGAGCAAGAAGATGACTTCACTCCTTTAGCGATGTAATTTGCAGACCTTGTAAATCGTTGTCGACAACGGCATGTTTCGCCAGTTCAGCCTTCTTTTTCAAAATATAACTCTGTTGCTCAGGCGTGCAACTCGCGAAATCTTCATCGGAGATCTTCGCAATAAGGTCATAAAAGTTAATCGTGACTCTGGCGAACTTCTTTAAGAGGGCAGCTTGTTTGCCTCCGTGCCGGTTCTTCTTTCCACACCGAATCAAACGATGGCAAAGTGTACTGGATTCGGGATGCGGCGATGACGTAGCTATAGGCCGTCACTGGTTTGACGATGGGGAATGTGCCAACAGGGTTATGGCGTGCTGAATGGCCAAGGCTCGTCCATTTCGCAGACGGGTTTGGGAAAGCGACCTTTGGAGACGGAGGTTGCTCGCAATGAAAAGGCCAGACCTTGCGGTTCGGAGAACTTGGCAAAGAATCTTTGAAGGGTTGACAAAGGAAATCAGGAAAGCCAGCGGGAGGTGCTAGCCAACGATTTGTTAATTTCTCAACAATGGCATATCGAACCGAACTTTCGAATTCCACAACAAATCCTGAATGAGTGGAATCTCGAACTGCAAGAGGGTTCCGATAAATTGACCGGATTCCCGAGTATCTATGATACTCATCACAGATAGCAGTGAGATAATCTCTCAACGTGATGCTCTGCTCTACGCCACACATCAGGTAGATGTATGGGGAACAGCGGAGTTCAGGGACTATCTCAAAGTTGCGAACGGAAGCATCGAACATGTCGGACATAACAACATCGCTTGTGCTTTCGACGCGATCTCCAGCGTGAGGTAGGAGCCATGAGAATGGATTTCTCACTGCGTTGGGACGTGGGTCCAACGTGGGCCCGGCTGATCCAATTGAACACGCTAGACCATTTCTAACCCTATCGGTTTCCTGATCACAAGAAACATGCACATCATCTGCCGATGACGCAAACCTGAGCCGAGAAGGCATATCTGCTTCTGCCCTATGCACGCCGTTACAATAGATCGGTCTGAAGGGTTTCCTGCTGCTGTATGTGAAGAAAACACCCAAGTAGGGATTGGCCATCGGATTGATCAGCTCTGCGAATGGGCGCTCCATTGAACGACACACCCATTCGGCTATTCTCTTTCAAAGGAGGAGGGGGGGTCAGAGGAAGTGGTTTGCGTTCGTTCCCCCGAATATTGCATCATCGTCAGCCATGCCTCCATCTCATGAAGACCACGCTGAACGGCGGTGTGTATAGGTCCACCAGCTCCTCCCATTTCCAGTACCGATCTTGAACTATTGCGGGGACGTCATCGGAGGATGGGTAATCTGGACGATGACGAAGAACGCGGTCGAGCTGTCTGTCGTCTTGGGTGCCGAATTTACCGACAAAACGAAACTGTGCAACGGACCTCCCCAGGAATTCAGTTCTCGTTTGAAGTAACTGGGAATAGTTGTGGTACAACTCCCCATACCCATGACAAGGGAGAGAGGAAGGGCAAAAAGGAAGAGGGGCCAGTTCGGGATCTACGTCACGCCCACACCACAGATACAAACCAGGGTGCGGCAATGGTAAAATATTGAGGGTAGAAACTCCAACCAAGGGTCCTATTCGCCCATCCGTGGACGCGTCCTGGGATCACGCAACCAGCACTGTCTTCAGGAGATGTATGTGCCAGGATAAGAGTCCACCCTGTCGGAGTTTGGTGACCACAGCTCGCACCAGTTTTTGCTAGCGTGTCCAGGGGTTAGAGAGGAGGGTTTCCGGGGGCTTTGCAACAAAATAGTCAGCTTGTCTTGACGGTCCGAGAGCTTTTTGAGGAAATGAAAATGATAAGCCGTCTAGACGTGTGGCTGCCACTTGTACACATGCTCGATGTCGATCGGCTCCCTGTTAGGGGAGAAGCTGACCACATTTTCATTTGAGGCAAGACGTCGTCATTCGCACAAGCCATGACGTTGAGGAGGGAATAACATGAAGAGTGCAGCTCAGTTTTGCTAACGCGCACGGAGGTGGAATACAAGAAAAGCCCAGGGAGACGCGCGCGGATCGAAAACACGCGGGAAATCGGTCTAAAGATCTGTCGTGGCACAAGAACTTTTACAGGAGAGCCTCAGGCTAGAAAACAAAGTGCTAGTAGCCTTTGATCAACACAAAACAACACAGTTGTCGTTTGTCGTTTGGCCACATATGCAAGTTTCTTGAAGCACAAACAATGTAGTTTTACGCGTTCATGCTTCTGAGATTGTGAAATTGATTTTTGAGAGTTTGTCAAGCATTTACGAGAATTCGAGCAGGTTGTTTACTGAGTATATCTACATGAGAAAAAAAGCCTACAGCCCGTGCAGTTCAATCTGTTGAATCTGGAGGGCCTGTATTGAATATTGACCTCCAGACATTTCTCCGAAAAAGCGCACGCAAATCGCTTCTCTCTTGAAAACGCCTTGTCGGCGTCTGCAAGATGAGACGGACATGGCGCGAGCATCCTCTCGAACTTCGATAGACCGTTACTGCTAGAGGATGAGGTGTATTCCCGTAAACCAAATAGAGCCCCAATCAACACGGGCATGTCGAGGAACTTCCAAAGGCGGTAAGTACAGTCAAGCACACAAAAAGGAGAGCAAAAACTTACAAGAGCCTTCAATACCAAAACATGGTATTGACCATGGGACCCGATGACACTACTTACGATGGATGTTGAGACGGCCCTGTGGAGGCAGAGTCAAGCGCTGCCAGTTGATCCACCAAATCATCCATAACCGATCTCGTTCGTTCATGTGTTTTCCCCTCTTCGTTCCCTCCGCTAGAAACGCTTTTAGTCGGCACGAGAACGTTCCCGCTCGGTTCGAAGCCAGGCGCGATCTTTCGCAATGCGTCACGCTTTCGTCTCTCCTTCTCACTTTCCCGTGACCGGAGATATTCTTCTCGGCGGGCAGTGTGTGCGGCTATTGTGCTTCGGCGTGAGGACTCGAGTGTGATTATATGGGGTTCCAGTGTGAAGGGGTAGACGAACTGGTTGAAGGTTAGTTATTGAGGGCATGTGGGACGAAAGTATCACTCACATATGGAGTTACTGAATCTGGTAAGGGATGTATGTCGGGTGGAAGTTGAACCTGGATTTTGTGAAGGTAAGCTTGAATTGATCCGACCGTAGACTTGGCTATGTGAACGCACTCTTTGGGGAACTCTGAGACTGGGTGACTTGATGAGTGGGACATTAACTGCAGCGGCGTAAGGCACTAGATCAAATATTAGATCGCGCCCGTTAGGATTCAGAGAAACTCTTACACTGTTCTGGCATATCTGTGGCCGAGATTGAAACGTTGAGGTTCAAGCTAAGAAAGACGTTGGAGTTGCATTGGAGTGAGGGAGCGAAGGCAAGCTGAGAGATAACAACTTTAGATCCTAACAGAAGCAATCAAAACACTTTTGCCCTCGACTACCATCTCAACCGGCTTGCAACTACTAACGAGGTGATGATGGCCTCCGCATCTTTAGATCTTATTGCGGCTTCAACGCAGATATCCCAAGGAGCCGAAGCCGCAAGTCTACCATGATCATCTGATGGATGTGTTCGACTTACGGCGGTTCATTCGACCCGACTTTAGAAAGTCTACAAAGGATCCTTGACACCAGACGCACCTTTCATTTTACTGAAGTATCGTTTCAAGAAACAGTACAGACATCCATCACTAGATGCTTTGTTGACTCGGTCCCGTGTCGCGGGAGAGGCCAGGGCGCTGATAAAATGTCTCAGGTAAGTCAATGACTGATGGCCCACCATCCTGGGCGCCTCGTGGACAAAGAGTGCTGATCGATGTTGGATGCCATAGGTCCGGGGTAAACGTTCCTGGGGTGCGGATGGTAGACGCTTCCGAGGGTATTTTGGGGATAGAGTGGATCGATGGCAAAAGTGTCAGGAACCTTCTCCCGGGAGGTGCGGAGGACGAAGAGGAGAAGGAGGAGGAGGAGGATGACGAGGTTTCAGAGGAAAATAACAAACCTTTGACAGAATACGGTATTTCCGTCGGTATGTCTTCTGCAGTGTTCGCAGCTTGGTTTCCATTCACCTCGGAGCCCCTAGACACATTGATGAGCCTCATTGGCATAGAAATTGCCAAAATACATCTGGCTGATGTAGTTCACGGCGATTTGACGACCTCCAATATGATGCTCCGACTACCAAAGCCTAATCAATCCACGACCGAGCTCGTGAGTTATTTTTGCTTCCCTGTCTGCCGGCTAAATTATCTCGCACAGGTTTTGATTGATTTTGGGCTTTCCTATATATCAACGTTGGTGGAGGACAAGGCAGTAGACCTGTACGTGCTTGAACGGGCCTTTGCCTCTACGCATCCAGATTCGGAGCCTCTTTTTGCTTCTGTGCTCACCGCGTATGGAACACGACTAGGCTCTGAGTGGAACGCTATTAGTCGGCGTCTTGATGATGGTAGATGACTTTTTTTCTTTTCCGTTGAACACATCGCTGATGTCCTTTGCAGTCCGTTTACGTGGCCGAAAACGTAGTATGGTGGGTTGAGGCACATTGATACAGCGTATCTTAGTCTCTCATTGTCGGTCAATAATAAAAGTTGATTGAGGCGGGAATACTTTGTGAACTGTGCGCTTGAAAGCTAAGGATGTCGTTTGCATCTGTTGCCCAGCCTTGCAAAGCCTTGCCCAGGCTGGCAGGTTATTTTTAGTAAATTCCCACATCACTCGACCTGAGCGCTACTCACGACGACAGTCAGCGGCGGAGTTCTTCCTCGCACGTCAGTGCATCGCTGTCAGGAACGTATACCCCTTTCACCGTCGCCTAAAAGTATCATATTCCATGGAAAATCAAGGTATTTATCTTCACCAACCGTCACCGATCAGGCCAATTTCTGCTACTTCTGCCGTCGACCTCACCGGAACTGGCTTTGCCAATACACTTCCTTCAGCACCTTCTTCACCTTCTCTTGATCCGACCGGCACCCGCCACGTAGCGCGTCGTAGGAGCTGGGGAAACAGAGAAGTTGATACGCACGGTGACGCCCAACCTCCGCTTCAAAGTGCACCTGCAAGATTCGTTGCGGAGCCAGATTCCATGTTACCTTCTAACGACGATCCTTTCTATACCTCTGGAGATGACCGCTCATCGTACAGCAGCAGGGACCAGTACTCAGCCGATAACGCTGGCCGCTATCGTGACTTATACAACTCGGACGAATATTCCAACAGCAACAGCAACAGGCATGTTGGTCCCTCAACCGCGTCGCTCATTCATGGTTTCCGTCGGGAGGGGACTGAGCAAGAAGCGGATGTCATGGAGGACGAGCATCGAGAGGACGATAAAGCCCACCTAACAGCGAACATGCAGCGTGACGACGCGCTGGAAAATGAGGAGGGGTACAGTAGCGATCCAGAGCACGAAGGTGCTACCTCAAGATCGAAACGGCGCACAAAGCGATACAGCCTATCGCCTTCGCCCTTGAAACTTACTGGCACAGCCATGAAGTCCATGTCAAAAACCATGAGGCGGGTGTCCTTGCGCGTGGTCAACCTTGCTGGGACGGGGTTGGCGGAACAAATACGGCTGGGTGATGGTGAAGAGACGGCGAGGAGGGCGCCCGTGGACGACGACGACGAACCCTCCAGGCCTGATTTGTCCAAGTCGCTACCTATCAGAGGCCGAACGTTGGGCTTTTTGGGCCCTGATAGCAAAGTTCGCCTTTGGTTGTTTAACTTTCTCGTGTATCCGTGCGTGCGCTGCTCCTCTTTGATTCTTAATTCTGATTGTGTCAACTCAGATGGACTGAACCTGTTATTCTTCTACTTATTGTACTCAATGCTGTCGTGCTTACTATACAGGCTTTCCCTTCTCTAACTTTGCCCACGGCGAATGGGCCAACTCTGCCTCCCCATATTCAAGGATACTTTCACACATGGGAGGACTATGCTCTTTTTGCTTTATTCGTTGTGTTTACGTGCGTGTCCATGGTTATTTTCATAATGCAATTTGATACTAAACTTTTCACCTAGTTTGGAAGCTATCGCCCGCATCTGCGTTACCGGTTTTCTCTTCGATCCTGAGATATCCGTCTTCTCCCTTTTCTCATCTCCCTACTCCCTTCAATCCGAACCATACCCTCCAAATCCTGGACCTACCTCAGGCGTAGGCCGTCAAACATCACTAACACGAGGACGTTCTATCACTCAACGAATCAGCCATTTGCGACGGGCCCTCATGCGTCCCTTTGTCATTGCTCCGCATGTGCCCACCTCTGCTTACCCAATGCAAGAGTACCACCCTTCACCTACCACCACCCCACAACTCCAAAGGAACGATACTGTCACGGGTAGAGTAAGAAACGCCGCGCACAGGGCGCATGCCACAATTCGTGAGCCTGCGGAACCGACATATCTGTCTCGTGTAATGAAATCTGAAACCGTCAGCGGGGATCCTGATGCGATCTCTCTGCCTTTTAGTTTCAGCATCGGAAACTTACACGATAAGACGCAGAGGAACGTGCCTTACCTGCGACAAAGCTGGAGTCGAATCGACTTTGTTGCTATCCTCAGCTTCTGGATAATGTTTGGTTTGGCGATGGCCGGCATCGAGAAGGGAACATACCACGTTGGGATTTTTAGAGCCATGAGCGTTATAAGGACTGCTAGGTTGCTTACGATAACATCGGGTACTACGGTGCGTTCTCTATCCTTGATCTGTTTGAACTTTACCTATCAGACCTCGCAGACGATTCTCCATTCACTAAAAACTGCTCGTCCTCTCCTTACAAGTGTGGCTTACTTTGTGTTATTTGCTATGGTGCTGTTTTCGTTCGTGCAGTCCCTTCTTCCCCCCATTTTGTATCTAACCATCCTCCCCCTCAGAATTATCGGCGTTCAGTCGTTCAACGGATCGTTTCGTCGCAGCTGCATACTCAGTCCCACCCTTGGTGAGGCTGAAATCCTCTTGCAAGACCAATTTTGCGGAGGTTACATCGATCCTGTTACTTTCGAACGTACTGGTTATATAGATATAAGCAACAACACGTTCCCGACACCCAAAGGTTACATCTGCCCTCTTGGGCAGCTTTGCAAGGTAGGACAAGGTTCATTCTGACGTAGGTCTCTGTTGAAATCTTATGCAGGAAACAGTGAACCCCAAGCACGACATCGAAAGTTTTGATGCTATTCACTATGCCGCCCTTCAAGTACTCATTGTCGCCAGTGCCAACGGGGTAAGTTTTTGGAACTCATACGTGAACACAGAATTCATCTACATGGTTTTAGTGGGCCCCGATGATGTACTCCATGATCGACGCGGAATTCTTCGTTTCTTGTTTCTTTTTTATCCTTGCGATCATTGTCCTTAATTTTTGGCTTATCAACCTGTTCGTCGCTGTCATTACCCACACATTTGCTGCCATTCGCTCGACAACCAGCAAAAGTGCTTTTGGTGCTGCACCGTATGAAACCCTTGATTATCAGCTTACCTCCTGATCGCTCACAATGTCGTTAATAGCCTTGTCAAGTTCGATAAACAAGATGATGATTGGTTAGGTGAAAACGGCCGCAAAGCTGCCACAAGGCCAAATACAGCGAAAGTCATATACGAATATACCAAGTGGTGCTGGGTGATCCTTGCTCTTGCATCCCTCGGCCTGCAAGCCTCCAAGACCGTCGACATGTCTGAAAGCCAAAAGCTTGCCCTATACTATGGCGAACTTGGCATTACAATAGCATTCGACATCGAGATTGTACTCCGAGTTTTCGCCACTCTACCTCACTGGAGGACGTTCTTCCAACATGGAAACAACTGGCTGGATACAATACTCGCCATTGGATCAACTATCATTCAACTGCCGGCTATCCGACATTCAGAACTGTATCCTTGGTTTACAATCTTTCAGCTGGCGAGATTCTACCGAGTCATATTGGTGGTGCCTCGCATGAGGCCACTCTTGGTACGTTACACTCTTCGTTACAAATAATAATTCACTGAATTTCGTCAGCTCGCCGTTTTTGGAAACATGTATGGTCTTGCTAACATGTCTTTGTTCCTCTTCCTTATCAACTATATCGCTGCCCTGGTTGCCGTGCAACTTCTTCGCGGCGATTTTGGTAACAACACGACTATCAATTTCGGAGAGGCTTTCAATGCTTTCTTGGCCATGTATCAAGTATTTTCTTCTGAAAACTGGCCGGATGTCTTGTATGGGGCGGCTCAAGCGGAAATACAGCTGCGCCAAACGGCCATCGTTATCATCTTCGTCTCGGGCTGGATGATATTTGCCAACTGTAAGTGTGAAGCAATTCACTATCATTGCAAATCAAACCAATGAAATTATAGTCATTGTCCTACAAATGTTCATCGCCGTGATCAACGAGAACTTTGAGGTCGCAGAAGAGGCTAAGAAAGGAAAACAGGCAACGCATTATTTGAATCAGAATCAGGCAGAGCAAGCTTCGTCCCCATGGCTTCGTCGTTTGAACCCATATCGGTGGGTCAAAGCCAATCCTGTAACGGTGAAGGTGGAAAACCTTCCCTCAAACCTCGTTCTGCCCATGCAGAAGGCATTAATTCAAGACTTTGGTGCTCAGAGACGAGAACCTCGCCCCGTGGTTGTGAGTTCTTATCATGTCCTCACATGTCTACATCTAATCGTCGGATGAAAGAAAAACAACCCAGTGTTAAGCAAACGTTTCAAGCCAGGCCATTACTCTTCCAAATCCCTCACAGCCCTTCAGAAACTCTTCGCAGGCGAGGTGAAATCAGGCAGTACTATGGCTACGCTACGGCACGCGAGGCAGGAACCCAGTGCGGACCCCTATGACGAGGAGATAGAGAGACACCTGTGCGTGCATTCACTTTTGGCCTTGACAGCTTTTGAGACTTTTACACAGTGAGCTTCTGGCGTCCGTGAATCCAGATGCCGGCCTGGGCGAAAACGCTGAGGATGAATATTATGAGAGAAAAGCCTTGCGAGCCGACTTTATCCGCAATCACCCCACATATGACAAGGTATTTGGGGTTATATCGCAGAAGAACTGGGTCCGCCAGCTGTGCCAGCAGGTAGTGCAACCTCCAAAGCGCGAGCGCATTTTTGGCAAGCCTTACTCTCCAATCGCGCTCCCCATCTTCCAAATGGCTATACTCTTGACCGTCATTGGTGGGATCGCCGTTGAAAGTGTCGCTACTCCACTTTACCGCCGCCATTACTATGCGACTCATGGTTTGGTTCGAGGGGCGTGGTTTGATGTTGCTGAGTCTGTGTTTGGCCTTGTACTCTTCCTGGAGTTCATGATCAAGGTTATTGCTGATGGGTTCCTCATAACCCCAAACGCTTACCTGCGGAGTATTTGGAACTTCATTGACTTTCTTATCATGATTGGCATCATCGTCAATGTGACTACAGGCATCATTTTCATTGGCGGTCTCACTCGCATTACTCGATCTTTGAAGGCGCTCCGAGCTCTTCGTCTGATCACTCTGATCGATCACATGCGAAACACCTTTGAATCTCTCATCATCTCAGGCGCTGTCCGAATTCTCGATGCTGCCGTTCTTGCCATCCTGTACATGATTCCTTACGCGGTATGGGGACTCAACATCTTTGCTGGGAGGATGAACACCTGCAATGACAGGGGTGCAATTGGTATGGCCGACTGCATCAACGAATATCCGAACACCATTGTCGATAACAACTCTTTTGGCTTCCCCGTTCCACGTGTTTGGGATAATCCATCACCATCAACCAGCTTCAGCTTCGACTCATTCCGTGCATCCTTGCTTATCCTATTTGAGATTGTCTCTTTGGAGGGGTGGATTGACGTCATGTCTGTGGCGATGAGCATTACAGGCAAAAATGAGCAACCTCAAACGAATGCTTCTCAGGCTAATGCTATCTTTTTCGTCATCTATAACCTTCTCGGTGGAGTCGTCATTCTGACCCTCTTCGTTAGGTTCGCCGCCTCGGTTTTTCTTTTACGGAACATGCTTGCTCATTGTAAATTCGCAGTATCATCATCAACAACTTCAGCTCCAAAACTGGAACAGCATTTTTGACAAATGCTCAGCGTGAGTGGATCGACCTGCAAAAGCTATTTAGACGACAGCGACCATCAAAAAGACCAAAGGTTCGACCTACAACTCCATTCCGATCGTGGTGCTTCGACCGTGCTGTCCATAAACACGGCTGGTGGACTCGGGCAATGACACTGCTCTTTTTATTGCACATTCTTGCATTGATGTATGCTGCCTGTCTTCGTGATTATTCTTTCGATTGATCAAGCCATTTAGGACCCAAACATTCACAGTTCACGAGTTTGCCGACAAGTTCCGTAGTATGGATAACACTACCTTTGAAATGCAGTTCTCCGTCTGATTATCTTTTAGATGATTTCTTTCTCGGTCTCATGTCCATCTACATTCTCGATGTCGTTGTGCGTTGGTATGGTCTGGGCTGGCGCAGTTTTCGCGCCAATGGATGGAACCTATTCGACATTGTGGTATCTATTGGGAGCTTCATCACAACCCTTATCGTTCGTTTTGGAGGAAGTCGAGGCAGCGGTTTTGGCATACAGCAACTGCAAAAGCTATTCCTTGTTAGCATTGCTTTCAAGCTGGTGCAGCGTACCAACAGTCTTAATATGCTTTTCAAGACTGCCGTGTATGTGCGACCACTATCCTAAAGACATTTTGTGCTAACTTTCAGGCCAGGGCGAGCTTGCCAGTCATAATCAACCTTCTTGGCCTATGGCTTATCCTTTTTATCTTCTTCGCGATTCTATTTGTCGAGGTGTTCGGATTGACAAAGTGGGGTAGTGCCGAAAACAGAAGTGCCAATTACGAATCTCTTGGATCTGCGTTGGTCATGTTGGCTTTCCAAAGTACTGGGTACGGTCTTTCATACTTAATCGGAATTATTACCATTAACGCGAATGTTTTTGCACCCTCTCACAGAGAAGGCTGGAACCAATACATGCATGACTTGTGAGTAATCATGCGTTTGGCACTGGAACTGGATCCTAATTCTCGATTTTAGTGATTTAACATACCCTCGATGCACCAACTCATCCAAGAGAAAAGCCGAATCTGATTGCGGGAGTACAGCATGGGCCTTTGCTTTGTTCATTGCCTGGAACCTTCTAAGCATGGTTTGTGCTGCCCGTACTCTGCCCATTCTAGTGCTCATGTTTGAATCCTCCAGTATATCTTTGTGAACATGTTCACCGGTATGTTTTAAGAGCGAACCCGGGAACATCAGTCTAATCTAATATACAAGGTGTTGTGGTCGAGAATTTCTCATATGTCTTCCAAGCGTCTGGTAGCGGAGCCAAGTCGATATCAAGAGAGCAGATGCGATCGTTCAAGAAAGTATGGGCTGAACTCTCCAATCCGAAGACTGGGTATCTTGAGCGTCAGAACTTCACCGCCTTTTTCGGGGTACGTTGTAGTCCAATCTTTTTCAATTTCCACGTGCTGACTGTCGTTCCAGAAACTCAGTGGGATTTTCGAAGTTCGAGTATACCCCGCGGAGTACAGTGTCCGCAACATCCTCTCTGTTTGCACAGACCCCTTGGGCCAGGATGCATGGTCACCGCGTGTTGTCAGTGGCGTTGATCTCAGCAAGGTTGAAAAGATCTTAGACGGCATTGATTACAATGAGATTCGCAAGCGAAGGGCCATCTATTGTCGGCTCTACCATGAAGCAACCATATCCCACGAACCGGGTCTGGGGATATCATTCACTAATATGTTGACATTGTTGGCGCATCATAAACTCATAGTTGATGCTGAAGCCCTGGTGTAAGCGCCTTGGTCATAACTTGCTTGTTACAGGTCTAATAGTTTTGCTTAGCCTGGAAGATCTTGTAGCTCGAACCGAAACAATCAAGCTGGTGACGGATCTTGTGAACCTCGACCGTGTCCGATCCCTGCTAAAAGCGATCTCGGAGCGGAAAAAGTTCTTGGAATACAGAGAACAAAAACGGGCTGCGAGGCTCGGGCAAGAAATTCCCTCAATCGTCGTGGAGGACATGCCCGAGACACCACCGCTTTCTTCGAGGGACATAGCAAGTGCGTCCTTTGAGAGTCCCTCGCAAACTTTCAGTGCCGTTCCTCGGCTCAGCCACCACGATGTCTCCTTCTCCATGGACATTCCAACTGGGTCGAGGTTGCAAAGAAGCAGACGACCGAGCGATTATAGCATGTTTTCTGCGGATAGTTTCAGATCTGCGTAAGTTGGTTCAGCTAACGTGACGGAGTAGAGAGCTAAAATCTGCTATAGTCGTTCATCCATGGCCGAAGAAGACCCTCAAGATATTGTGAACTCGATGCAAAACTCCATGTGGGGAGGTGAGCAGCTAAACTGATGATATGTGCACAATATACTGATCTTTTTGATCAGACTTGATGATGGAAGCTGCAGAAGAAGAGAAAAAGCGACACAATTCCTAACACTCATTGGATTCAAATCTGACATTTTATGTAGACGGACAGTAATATTAGATTGTAGAACATCCCCTTCGTAAGTTATTCGGATTTAATCGGTAATATAGCACGAGGAATCATTTTATGGGTAAATAGAGGGAATGTATCGTTATCATGATGCATATGGCAAGCCAATGGGATTCGGATGAATGTACGCTTAAGATAGCCGTACATAGGTCAGCTGGAGAGTGCAGAGGTACAGAACTTGAGTATGTAAGTGGTGTCGAATACAATCGACAAATAACTGCAAGCCTGATGATGGCCCAAACGGTTTGCTATAAACATAGCTCTTCATCATGATAGAAACGAGCATAAATTGGAGGTATACGAAAGATTAAAAAAACACAACTAAGTGCGCCCTCCTCTACGAGCACGCCAAACCCCACCGCCTCGCACAGTCTGGAACCCATCATCGCCCTCTTTAGCTTGCTCTCCATTAACCGGAGGAGCAGGCGAGCCAACACGAGCAGGAGGGGCATTCACCTGGGGAGGAACTGCACTCGCAGCACCACCAGCGTTCTTCGCTTCCCTCGCCCGCCAGCCTCCTCCAGCAGGAGCAGCAGCCCCACCCCTGCCAAACCTGGCTGGCGCAACTGCAGGTGAAGGACTCTCGGCACGCGGTGGCGGCGTCGCAACAGCCCCTACGCGAGTGGGTGTAGGAGGTGTCGAGTTGTTATTGCTGACGGGAGTCCCGCGTCTCCAGACAGAGGGCTCGTCTTTCGTTGCACGAAGGGCTGTGGGAGCGGCGAGGGGCGCGCGGGTGGGAGCGGCCTTCTCTGCGGCACGTTGTCGTCTGTGGGCCTCTGCCTCTTCCTCGCGCTGTAGTTGAAGCTTGGCTTTGTCCGCGGCTTCTTGGCGTTCCAGCTCGCGTTGCTTGCGTCGTTGTTCGACTTCTTCTGCGGCTCGACGTTTGGCTTCTTCCTCAGCTGCTGCTTTAGCCTCCTCTTCCTCGCGAAGACGTTCCTCTTCGGCACGACGTTCTACAGTCATCGTTAGTATCTTCTGCTGGCTTGGTGGATGAAAAAGACAGAAGCAAAACACACCTTCTGCAATCCGCCTCTCCTCTGCCTCTTTCTCCGCCTTCTCCTTCTCTTCACGCTCAACACGCCGCCGTTCCTCTTCTCTGGCCTTCGCCACAGCGTTTCTCCTCTTCTTTTTCTCCTCCTCAATCTTCACCTTGGCAGCCTCCTTCTTCCTCGCGAACTCCTCGCCCTTCTTGGCAATAATCTCCTGCCTTCTGCTCTGATAATCACCCATCATACGTGACAGCCGCGCTTTAGTAGCCAGATCGTCCTGGTGAGCCTTTCCAGCTGCCTCCAGGCGTGCACGTTGTATGGCTTCAACGGTATCCTTGTCCGTAGCTTGCTGCCTTTCGTAGTCCTGAGCGATGAGAGGTTGTTCCTCCTTACGATACGCACGCTCGGTGTGGTCGATCCGCTTAGCGATGATGCGAAGTCGCTCGCTAAGCTCCTTCTTCTCCTTCTCGAGTTGAGCTACCTGGATGGTAATTAGCCCTTCCGTATCAATGCTTTCCAGCTTCTATCGAAAACGTCAGAAAAGAAGAACAAGAAACAAAAACGACGATAAAGCTCACATCAACATCATTAGGCTTCAAAATCCCCTTATCCACCAAACTCTGCGCATACTTTTTGGCTTCATCGATCCTAATACTCTCAATCTCCTTCTTCGTCCTCTCCTGCTCCCTCTTCCTCAGATCCTCCCTCACACGTCTTGCCTCCTCCTCCTTCTCCCTTCGACTGAGCTCAGCACGCCGGCTGCTCGCTTCCTTCTCCTTACGCACGCTCAATTCACTCAATAACTCCCTCCTCCGAGCTACGATGGCGCGTTTGAGTTGGAGAGCTTTGCGTTCAGACTCCACAGCTACCACGAGAGCCTTGAATTTTTCGGCTTGTTCTTCAGGGGATAGGGCTTCCGGAGATTCCTCGATCTTGTGAAGGGAGTTGTGCAGGCAAGTAGCAACTTTACTCAACCGCGTTCGAACGAGCTCGGCTACCGAGGGTTGGATCGACGATTCACCACGAGCAGTGGAGGTAGAAGTCGACGCGGTGGGCTGTTGCAGCTCGTCTGCAGAGACAAACGCGTCGTCTACGAAAGTGATGCTTCCATCTTTATGGTCCACGCGGATGTTAAGTTCTCCACGTCGAGCACACCCCATGATGTACGCCTCGATCTGCTCTTCCTCATAGGCGCCTTCGATGCCAGCTTCTTTGAGTGGTGCGACGAGCGCGAGGAGGTTGTCGATCTTGATAGTGGAGTAGACCTGGGACAGTTGGGACAGGAGACGAGAGAGCAGAGCACGTTGGAGGAGGGTGAGGTAGGGTGAGTAGGATGCATCTGCTGAGAGGATTTGCAGCAGGGGAGCAATTGATGAGCAGAGGGTTAGTGGGTCAAAGGTGACTTCGAGGATGTTGTATAGTGATTTGACAGATTCAGGCGAGAGTTTGAGGACGTCCCTGGAGAGCTATAGATGATAATTAGAAAATACGCTCATCGAAACGCTAGCATAACTAACAGCATCCTTGAGCAATCCTGACCGGGAGGGCATCCTCGTGAGCCCAAGTAAAGCCGTCAGACGAGCGTTCTTGCCCTTCAACTCGTCAGGCTCCTCCGTGTGCAACCCAACAGGAACGGCCAGGGCGCTGACGAGAACCTGCCCAGCAAGCCTGCCGAGCTCTTCTTCCGACTTACCCCCAATGCTGAGAATAATTGCGTAATACCTGCTCCAAGCAGCGGCATGGTACAAAGCGTTCCCACTCATGAGGAAAATTTTGGTGAGTTTTTCGTAGTAGTTCGCCATCATTGCTGGGCGGGGAGCCTTCTTGGCCATGTTGAGGAGGTTGTGGACGTCCTCAACAGACCTGAAGGCTTCTTGCCATAGTTCGAGCTCGACGGAGGTGTTGAGTTGGGCAAATCGGGTGTCGAGGTGGTGTTGTAAGGTGTCTGGGTCGGAGAGGTTGATAGAGTGTTGCTGGTGTGAGTATTTCGCGACGTTTGAAAGGTGCAGACGAAGTGTCTCGCATAAACGACGGAATTCAACTTTGCGTTGGTGCTTGAGGCAGAATTTGAACGCTTGCTGTGCGATTTGCTGTTGTAATGATATGAATGGGCTGTTTTTAAACCATTGTAGGCCCGACTCACCTGGTAGATAGCTTCCAACCTCGTATTGTTCTTCAAAGTCTCTAAAGATGTTCGATAGCTCTCCCATAAGAACTTGAGCCAGGGAGTGACGAGGGCACGATCCGTGCGGTCCTTGCTCTGATCTCCACTAACTGCACCGAGAAGGATGCTCTCCGGGGTCTCGCTAGCCTCCAAATCATCAACATCAACGGCCGATTTTACAGCGGCCTTCTCCTGCGCCTCCCGGACCTTCGAGTCGGCCAATTGAACAAAACGAGTGATAACTGCCTCGATACTCTGCACGTTCGTGTTCTGTGCAATGTTTTTATATTGCATGAGTCCTTCCTTGGCTGGGCGGCCTTTTCGCATTTCGACGCATAATTCGATAAAACGATGCATGATCGGCTCCAGGGAGGTGAGTGGTGTCGACCTGAATCGTTTTGAAGAGAACATTTCTGTCAATGATTGGAGAGCTGCGTGCGTCTGACCGACGGAGACGAGTCCCTCGGCCTGCTTGAGCACGGTCTCTGGTTTTGAAAAGGGCGCCATGGTGTCTGAGAAGATCCGCCTTGTAAATTACTGATGGTTTGAAGTCTGAAAGTTGCTCACTTTACGAGTTTAATAGGCCTCGTAGGGTACCCGTGCGGCAAGAAAGTCAGATAAAACGACGAAGGGCCTTTGTCACAGTTATTGATGACGGTGGACTGGTCAAAAAATTTAGGTTCAGGCTTAGGGCAGGTTTCCTTCACACGACCATTGACTTTGACTCGATCATTCATCTACCACCACCTTATGACCTTCATTCCTGTTACGTTCTTGTCAATGTACGCTCTATGTATGGTCGAATCTCACAAATACATTGCGACGCGATTACGAGTGCGTTTTTTTCTCAGTTTTCTGAGTGCGATTCAGCATGAAGTACACACCAAGGGAGGCGCATGCATGCACCATTTTCAGGTATTATCGTTCCATGCCATCGTCTCCCACATACTCGGTGGGATGTCACGGTGTTGGAGTGCATAAGAACGCAATTCCAGCCGTCAGATTTCAACGTTTACCGAACCTCCCTCGGCCACAACAGCTTGAAAGGAATCGAAGAGGACGCATTTCAGCCTTTGTAAATCCAGCATAAAATTCAGCAATTCTCCACGTTTTCGACTTAACCACCTGGCGTTTGTAAGAAACACCCAGATTCTTGCACTCATGGGTGGTCAGCCCTTCGCAGACGGGCTTCAGTATTCACTGCTTGTCAGGAGGAGATTTGTTCTGGTTTGGCGTTGCTTGAAATCGACTCCGATGGCCTTGCGATAAGGCACATGCCCGCTACGTAGTTAGCGGGTCTTATCCTACGAGCCAGCAAAGCTCTTGCGTGGGTAAGTTTAGCCATGTTTGGCCCCCCTCTGAGTGACTCGGTTAGGGTTCGACCCTTCCTCTTTCTCGTGTTCCTCCACCATGTCCTTTTGTTTCGAGCTCGAGGGCTCTCCCGTTTCTGCTGAGCTTTCCTGTGGTCCTCGATCCTATGTGTCTGTTGCTTGCTTGAACCGTTTGGGCTTGTCTTTCTCTGGGGAGTGTGCCGATCTTGCAGTGTCTGTGAAGATTGGCGATAGCTGGCCTACATGTGTTATGTCTCTGCTTGTCTCAGGCGAACATCAAGAGTTTGACTTGGTCTTGGGTGGAGACTGGAAGGGCCTGATGAAGGAGCTCTGCTCGGCAACGGGTGTTATCTTTCCCGTGGCATTGGTACGTTTATCTTAGGACTTGAACGTTTGTTGACACATATTTCAGCAACGTTCCATCGTTCATGGTCCTATCCCCGCCTTCGAAGTCAGAGAACAGACATCTCGGAGGTCCGCATCTGTAAGCATTGTCTCATGGTACAATGCCCTTTCTGTTATTGATAAGTGTTTTAGCCTCCAACTGGGTGCAGGTCCTCTGGTGGCGGCGACGGTGGGGGTCATGAATGTGTGGAGCCAGCAGTAAGTTGACATGCCCTGACTTAAGCATTATAATCACAAGGACATCTAGGAGCCATCACCAAACATTGATCTACCGAATTGCTCTCTGCACATTGACAATTTAAACACAGAAAATGTTCAATTTAAATCTTTAATCTGTGACCCGAGCTCTTCATTTTTCGTGTTGGGTGGCAGCAGCTCTGCTGTTGTCGAGGCTCTTAGACTTCATGGTGTTTTGTATGAGGGTCTCAGTGGCGATGCCCGTCGAGCTGCTCTTGTTCATCATCTGTTTTATGGTCATTGCCATCGTCGCGCGATGACCGATTGTCGGGCCGTCGCGCAAATGTCGACAAGTATGGTGTCTCTTGCCACCTCTCTATCTGAAGATGTGTTAGCATTGTTTCGACGTTCCCAGCTCCCTTCTGCCATATTCCAGAATTTATGTCTGTTGTTGGGCTTTCGAAAGGAACAGGCTCGTTCAGAGTCAAACATGCTTGCGTTTTATGAACATCGTCTAGATATGTTGCGCAATCCCTGTACGTTTTACCAGCTGTCCAACTTTTTTTCCAATTATGATCGCATGGATCGTCCTACTTTGTTGAGTTTGTGTGGGGTTCATGGCTTACCTTCAGATGGAACGATGACAAAGTTACGCGACCGGTTATTTCAACATATATGTGGTGGCCGTTGCAAAGATCCCAGTGCTTCCCAGGTCAGCTTGCCTCCATCCTGTGAGAGTACTATTGACGAAGTTGAGGAGCCTCGTGATTCGTCGGATCTCGCCAGTTACGTGTTGGCAAGGACTGTTCATAAGATGAAATTGAAATCTCTTCGTAAAGTTGCCGATATGTACAATCTTGAATGTAGGTCGACCGATTCCATGTCGAAGGTTCGGCGGATGATAAAACATTTTGTTTCTTCTTCGTTGAAAGGCAAACGATACCTTCGGTCTGTTGCTCGTCAACGCGCACATAATGAGCATGAAGATCAGTTGCATGATGTTCGTCATAGGTGGCCGGAAGTTCCTTCAAAGTCCGTGACGGACACACTTGTGAATGATTTTAAATTGAGGACTTCATCGTCTGAGCTCGCGACATCTGTTTGTGCATCCTGTGCGGAGAGTACCCTTACAAGCTTTTCGACGACCGTACCCATCGACGAGGTTGATGTTGCCATCTTACGGCGGCCTGACGCCTCTTCTGAAGCGGTTGACACATCTGACTCTGAGAGTGACGATGATGAGGATCAAGATTCAGAGCAGGAAGAGAGCTATTGGTTACATCCCTCCGTTACGCCTCCAGCTTTTCCTTATTGTGATGGACCTTTGAAGGACGTTTTGTTAGACCCCAAGGGAGTTGTTGAAAGCAATGGCGTGCCTGAATCTATGATTCTTTGCGAGACGTGTCGTGTTTCCTTGAGCGCAGGGCGCTTGCCCGCTTTGGCCATCGCCAACCGTTTGTTTATAGGAGATGTGCCAGATGAACTGAAAGACTTGACCACTGTCGAGGAGTCGATGATTGGTCTGTGTAGGGCACGCGCATTAATCGTACGATTGAACGCTGGTCCGTCAGGATCTCATCGAGACGATTTTGCTTCTTCTTCAGGCCCAAACCTGCAGCGTGCACTGAGAGGTCATGTCATTGTTCATCCGCAACGTCCTGACATTGTATCTGAACTACTTCCTCCGTCTATTGAAGATATTGTGGCACCTATTTGCGTTGTGTTCAGCGGGTCAAATGCACCCTCGGCTGACTGGCTCCGGCAGAAAGCGACACCTCTCGTGGTGCGAGCTGACAGAGTTCGTCGAGCACTTATCTGGTTGAAGGCACATAACTACCTCTATCGGAATATAACCATCAATCACGGTGTCCTTGACGAAATCAACAGTTTACCGTGCTTACCCGTTCATGTCGAATTTATCGGTTCAGACGACGAGGATGATGCGTTGACCTCAGGATATGCGAACACCGCCAAGTCAATGGACAACAGGGACATGAGCCAATCCGATGATGCCATCCCTTTCGATAGTGTTCTTATTGCTGATGTTGAACCAAAGGCCTCCGCTCGTGAGCTTCGGGCGGCCGCCGTCCGTCATTTTGGAGATACAACTAAAAGTTATTTAGAGATGCCTCACAATCCTGAACCCGAGAACGAGTTTTGCAACCCTACTCTCTTTCCAAAGCTTTATCCAACATTGTTTCCGTACGGTTTAGGCGGCTTCGAAAATCGAAGGCGTAAACGACCTTTGTCATTCAAGAGGCAGGCTAAACATTTTTTGAATCTTGCCGACAATCGTTTTCAAGTTCATCATTCCTTTACCTTCCTAGCTTTCAATATCATGCAACGTCGGCAGGTTCTTTGGCAATCTAGTGCAAAGGTCAAGAAGGCCAATTTCCAAAATACGGCCGAGATATTTGCTGGTATCTGCCCTGAGGATATTGGGACGGTTACGGATCGGTTTGCACGGGGGGATGATAAAACGGCGTACTCGGACAGTGAACGTCGCGTGCTTCGTCTAATGAAAGAGGTCAAAATGGTCAACCGACATGTACCTGGTTCCAACGCCGCGAGGCTCGCGATGAGAAATGAAATATAGTTAGTTCAGTCACATGGGTCCAATAACAACGGAACAGCCGGACGCGACAATCAGTCGTAGTGAACGGGTCAGCCGGGGCGGCCGGTTTGATTGCCATTGTTCCATTGGCAACGAAGCGGCCGGTTTCTGACCCTGGCAGGGTTTACGCTCCCGCGGCGGAACCACTTTTTCAACCGACGGGCTCTGACCACGTCCCGACGGGCTCTCAGCCCATCCTGATGGAACTACAAAAAAATTTAACTGGGGCCTCTCTCCCCTTACTTATATCCATCTAGATCTGTAGCATAATGTATCTTAATCTTTATCTCATCCAACTCCTGCAAGATAGTCTCCATATAAACCAAAAACTGAATTTTGTCCCAACGGGGAAACACTCACCTTGTAGTTAAGAAATGAAAGCTTTTCATTTAGCTACTCACACCTTGTCTACTCATTTGTGGCTCCATTGGGGTGTCAAACTGGAATTGATGGTTCTGTTGGGGATGTCTCTGTCAGGGTGTTTGACATTGAGATTGAAGGCGCCACAGGGGATGTTTCCATTGGGGTGTTTGACATTGAAATTGAAGGTGCCGCAGGGGATGTCACCGTCGGGGTGTTTGAGGTTGAGATTGAAAGCGCCGCGGGGGATGTCGCCGTCGGGGTGTTTGAGGTTGAGATTGAAGGCGCCGCGGGGGATATCACTGTCGGGGTGTTTGACATTGAAATTGAAGGTGCCGTGGGGGATGTCACTGTCGGGGTGTTTGAGGTTGAGATTGAAAGCGCCGCGGAGGATGTCGCCGTCGGGGTGTTTGAGGTTGAGATTGAAGGCGCCGTGGGGGATATCACCATCAGGGTGTTTGACATTGAAATTGAAGGTGCCACGGGGGATGTCACCGTCAGGGTGTTTGACATTGAAATTGAAGGTGCCGCAGGGGGATGTCACCATCGGGGTGTTTGAGGTTGAGATTGAAGGCGTCGCAGGGGATATCACCGTCGGGGTGTTTGACATTGAAATTGAAGGTGCCGCGGGGGATGTCTCCGTTGGGGTGTTTGTCATTAAAATTGAAAGCACCACAGAGGATGTTGCCATCA